CCCGTGGTGACTGGCCCTGTGTTGCAGCATGGCTGAGCTCCTGCTCCCTGGGGCCGAGTTCCACCGGTACGTGCAGGGCCAACGCAGCCTGGTGCGGTCCCCACTGCCCTACACTGTTCCCGCGGAGCTGGCAGAGCACCTGGACTTTGGTATGTTCCGCTTGTGGGAGATGAGGCTGTGGTGCAGCCCCAGCCCCCAGGAGCTCCCTCAGCCTCTCCACAGCCATAGCTCAGCAGCCCTTGCCCCCTGCATGGGATGGCCACTGGAACCCACGCGAGGGGGTTCTCAGGGCTGGGGCTGCAGGGCTGGGCTCCCCGAGACCTGCTCCTGGCCAGCCTGTGTGGACACGGGTATGGTGGCGGGGGAGCCCAGGGCCTGTGGAAGGTGGTGGGGGAGCCTAGGGATTGTGTCCTGCCCTCCTTGGGCTCTGTGCCCTGACGGTCCCTCTGGTCCCACTGCAGTGGGTGGGATGCATCGGTTCCCCGTGGAGCGCATGGTCAGCAGAGCCGAGACCAGGAAGTACGTGGGGTCGGCGGGAGCACTGTTCCACCTGGGTGTGACACCGGCCATCCTGCGCCAGAGATACAACATGACAGGGGGGGACGTGGGGCTCCTGCCCAACAACAGCCAGGCTTGTGCACAGGTAACAGAGCTGCCCAGATTGGAGGTCCGTGGGCTGGGGCAGTCCTGTGGATTGGTGCTGCTCGGGGGTCCTGAGACAGCTGGAGGTCCCTCGGCAGCTGCTGGGAGTACCTGGTGTAGCATAGACTTGTACTGGGCAACTTTCTAAGTCAGGATCCAAATCTTACCATATTTTTCAAGACCAAACAGCCTGTTCCTTCACATTGTGCAGTTCCTGGAGCAGTACTTCCACCAGGCTGACCTGGCTGAGTTCATGCAGCTCTTCGGCAGCAGCTTCGCCCACCGCACGCAGGTGGACCGCGTGGTGGGGCGCCAGGGCCATGGCAAGGCCGGGCTGGAGGCCAGCCTGGACGTGGAGTACATCATGAGCACGGGTGCCAATGTTTCCACCTGGGTCTTCAGCAATGCAGGTACGGGGGGGGGAGCCCTGAGGGGTGGGAGAATGCCTGGAGGGGCAAGAGGAGAGCCCCAAGGCAGGGGACAGAACACCCAGAGGGGTGAGGAGAGAACCCAGAGGGGCGAGAGAAGAGCATCAGGGCTGTGCAGATACACCTGGTTGCAGTACAGCCCCAGGTGCCTTCCCAGCTGCTCCCCGAAGTCGGAGCTGACACTGGATTCCCAGCTTCTAGGGGAATCATCCTTGATTTGTGTATTGGCTTTGAACTGTGTGAACCTTCAGCATCCAGAGTATCCCGGAGCAGCTGTTTCCTCACCAGCACCATGCAGAGCAATTGCCCCGCTTCACTCCTGTGGAAGAGGGCACAGCCATAGGATTTCCTGGCCTCGCTGGGGATGGAGCTGAGCTCTTGCCCATGAGTCTCCCAGTGGAGCAGGGAGAGTGAGGGAATTTGGGAAAACAAATTGCCAAACAGCCTACACAAACACAAACAGGGCACAGTGCTGGGGGCAGTGTCCCTGTCCCAGATCAGGAACTGGCTGAGCAGGAGGCAAGTGCCCCAGGGACACTGTCCCTGTTCCTGACAGTGACAGCAGCCTGGCACTATCCCTCCTGCTGCCCCCACGCAATTACTGCTGTGGGAAGGGCGTGGGGACAGTGAAGCGGGTGATCGAGAGTGAGTGGGGGTGGCTGGGCCTCTGCTCCCCTCTGGATGGAGAGGGCTGGCGGGCAGGGAGGGACCCGGGCATGTGCAGGTGGAATGTGTGGAGGTGGTATGTGCATCACTGCACTGGGACACACTGCCACGGGAGGGGCCGAGGCCCTGCTGGATCCAGACCTGGCCAGGTGGCTGCAACCCTGTGACAGAGGCTCAGAGAAGGGGGCGTGTAGGCCCCTGCCCTGGGGTTCAGGGAGACCCTCGGCAACCCTGTGGGTCAAGCTGGAGCCTGATGCCATCCACCATGACTGGCCCCAGGATGAGCTCATGGAGCTCCAGGCTGGCTGTGCTGTGAGTTTGTGCCCTATAGGCAGGAGTTGGGGGGTTTCAGCCCCCGGTGCTGGCAGTGCTGCTGAGACAGGGCCCACTGCACTGTCCCCCACCCCTGGTGTCAGGGTAACTGTCCCTGTGTCCCTGCCTTGCTGTCCTCACAGGACGGCATGAGAGCCAGGAGCCCTTCCTGGCCTGGCTGCTGCTGCTCAGCAATATGTCGGCGGTGCCATGGGTGCACTCGGTCAGCTACGGGGACGACGAGGACAGCCTGTCCCTCGCCTACATGGAGCGCGTCAACACTGAATTCATGAAGGCGGCAGCGCGTGGCCTCACCATCCTGTTCGCCTCAGGTGCGACCGAGCCCGGCATGGCCTTAGTGCTGAGCATGGCTGCAGGAGTCCCTCTGGGGATCTCAGGCTGAGGGGTGGCTGGGGCACCACGGTCACCTGTCCCTTCTTCGTCTGTGTGTCGGCAGGTGATGATGGCGCTGGGTGCCGGCGGGTGCACAGTGGGAACCACACATTCCGGCCCAGCTTCCCGGCCTCCAGGTGGGTGAGGGAGGGAGCTGGGTGCAGGGACAGTGGTGGCCTCAGTCCCTGTGGGGTTTGAGCCTCCCGGGGATCACCTGAGGGTCCCCACCAGGGCCTGGGGACATTTGCAGACCCCAGGTCTGGGACCTCTGCAACTCCTGGGGGATGTTGGGATTGCGGGGCAAGGTTGTGGTAGCGGGAGAGTCACAGGGGGCTGCTGAGGCCCAGGCAGCCATGTGGCCACCCATGGTGCCCCTCTGTCTCCTCAGCCCATATGTCACCACTGTGGGCGGCACGTCCTTCAAGAACCCGTTTCTGGTGACGGAGGAGGTGACGGATTACATCAGTGGGGGCGGTTTCAGCAACATCTTTCCCATGCCTGGGTATCAGGTGAGAGTCACCTGCACGGCTGGGCTGTCTGGGGATGCGGGGGGCCTGGTGGGGGATAACGGACTTGGGGGTGACCACGGGCTGTGGTGTGCATGACAGTGGGCTGTGGTAGGGGATGAAGGCCATGATGGGGGACAAGGGCTGTGGTTGGGTGCTGACAGGCTGCGCTGTCCCCAGGCTGCTGCCGTCGGGCGTTTCCTGCGCTCGGCCTCGAAGCTGCCGCCCAGCTCATACTATAACAACAGTGGCCGCGCGTACCCCGACCTGGCCGCGCTCTCCGACAACTACTGGGTGGTGACGAACCGCATCCCGCTGCCCTGGGTGTCGGGGACCTCGGTAAGAGCCCGTCCCCCGCCACCCTGCAGGCCGGGGGCCGCGGGCTGAGCGTGCTGTTCCGCAGGCATCCACACCGGTGGTGGCGGGCATGGTGGCACTGATCAACGACCGGCGACTGCAGCGGGGGCTGGCACCCCTTGGCTTCCTCAACCCTGCGCTCTACCAGCTGCAGGAGCGGGGTCTCAGCACTGCCTTCTATGATGTGAGCAGGGCAGGGGACAGGCTGGGGGGTCATGGATGTCCCAAGGGGCTGGGCTGGGCTGGGCTGGGCACACCATCCTGGGGGCTGGGGGGCCATGGGTGCCCCAAGAGACTGTCCTGGGGGCTGGGGGTCTGTCCTGGGCCTCTTTCTCCCAGAGCCCTGCTTGGGGCAGGGCCAGAAGTGACCTGCTGGGATGCAGGAGAGTCCCTATGGCCTTCCTTTGGGAAGGGTGTCCGGGGAGGGTCCCCATGGGCCTCCCTTGAGCTTCATGGGGCAGGTCCCCTTGTGTGGCTGTGACTATTTGAGGGGTGCTGTTCCCTGAGGAGACCCTGGGGAGGGGCGGCCTGTGCCATAGGGAGTGTTGGATGGGTCTCTGTGCTGGATTTCATGGGGTCCCTGTGCCCCAGGGAGTCCGTATGCCCCTGCGCTGAGACCAATCCCTGCAGGTCACCCAGGGCTGCCACTTGTCCTGCCTGGACGGCACTGTGCAGGGCCAGGGCTTCTGTGCCAGCCCCGCCTGGGACCCTGTCACCGGCTGGGGCACTCCCAACTTCCCGAGCCTGCTGCGGGCGCTGCTGCTGCACTGACCGGGACACTGTGACTGGGACACTGGGATTGGGACACGGGGACTGGGACAGTGGGACACCGGGATTGGGACACGGGACTGGGACACTGGGATTGGGACACGGGGACTGGGACACTGGGACTGGGATAGCAGGACACCAGGACAGCGGGATCAGGACACTGGGACTGGGATAGCGGGACACTGGGACTGGGACAGCGGGACACTGGCACAGTGGGACTGGGACAGCAGGGCAGTGGGATCAGGACACCAGCACGAGGACAGCGGGATCGGGACACCGGCGCTGGGACAGTGGGATCGGGACACGGGCGCTGGGACAGCGGGTCACTGGCGCTGTGGACCGGGGGCGGGCAATAAAGCGGGGCTGGGCAATAAACCGTGGCCGGGCAATAAAGCGGGGCCGGGCAATAAAGCGTGGGCGGGCAATAAACCGGGGGCGGGCAACAAAGGGGGCGGGCAATAAAGCGGGCCGGACAACAAAGCGCGGGCGGGCAATAAACCGGGGGCGGGCAATAAAGCGGGCCGGGCAATAAACGCGTGGCCCCGCCCTTCCCGCCTCTGTGTGTGCCGGCGGCGCCGCCAGGAGGCGCGCGGGGCGCTGGGGCCAGCCCCGCGGCACGGGGAGGGGGCGGGGCGGCGGCGCGGCCAATGGCGCGGGCGGGCGCGCGCAGGCGCCGAGCGGAGCCGGGGCCATGGCGGCAGCGCCGATGCCGACCCGCGCCCGCCGCGGCGGCCCCGCCCGTGCCCGCTGAGGGCAGCAAGCCCAGCCCGGCCGCTGCGGGCGGCGCCGGCGCCCGGGGCGGCGCCGGGCGGGGGGCTGGGGCGGCGCGGGGTGCCGAAGGCGGCGCGGCCGGCGGGAGGGGGCCGGTGAGTCGGGGGCCGGCGGGGCCTGGGGTCGGTCGGGGCTGATGTCCGCGGGGCGCGGCGTTGCCGGGGCTGACCGCGCTGTCCCGCAGTGCCGGTGTCCGCGGCCGTGGCCGCTCCCCCGGACGGGGCCATGTCCAACGGCGTGTACGTCCCGCCCGCGGCCAACGGCGACGTGAAGCCCGTGGTGTCCACCACGCCGCTCGTGGACTTCCTGATGCAGCTGGAGGACTACACGCCCACGGTACTGGCGCGTGGGGCGGCTCCGGGGGGACGGGACGGGACACGGGGCAGCTCCCACGGGGCCGTGGAGCTGTTCCAGCTCTTTCCTCCCCAGATACCAGACGCCGTGACGGGGTATTACCTGAACCGGGCGGGGTTCGAGGCCTCGGACCCCCGCATGTAAGTGGCAGCAGGGCAGGGGGCGGCAGTGGGACCCGCGGTTAGGGTTAACCCCCCGGCCCCTTGCCGATGCGGCCCCTGCCCCGCAGCATCCGCCTGATCTCACTGGCAGCGCAGAAGTTCATCTCTGACATCGCCAACGACGCCCTGCAACACTGCAAGATGAAGGGCACAGCCTCGGGCAGCTCCCGCAGCAAGAGCAAGGTGGGGGCACCGGGGAACCCCCTCTTCGGGTTGGGGCTGAGCCCGGGATGTGGGGAGCAGGAACCCCAACTCTGCTGCACTCTTGGGGGATCCCTGTGGGTGGGGAGGGGCTGGTGGGGACACGGTTTGGTCCCCCTCCAGAGTGTGGGAGCAGCTGCTCCCCTGGCAGCTCCAAGTCTGGGGAGGGGCCAAAACAGCGTTAGTGGGGACCCTTGCAATGCCACACTGGGAGCTTGAGGTCCTACAAGGGCAATGGCACTTATTGCTTGGGGTCTACGGACAGCTGAGGACATGGAGTGATGGAATGTGGGGAGCTGGGAACATCCCAGCACTGCCCAGCAGCTCTTCTGGGAGCAGGCCCGCTGTCCTTGCACTGGAGGAGGTCCCAGAGCTCTGGCAGCTCCTCTGGAAGGGGAATACCCCTGTCCCTATGCCATATGGGGGTCCCCGTGCCGGCTGTCCCTGCCATGATGATGTGCCCTGTGTCCCCCAGGACAAGAAATACACTCTGACCATGGAGGACCTGACACCAGCGCTGGCCGAGTACGGCATCAACGTGAAGAAGCCACATTACTTCACGTAGGGCCCGGGGGGCTCAGGCAGTTTGTAGAGGCTGTGTTGGTGCCATTAAACACCCAAGAGGGTTTTGTGGGAAGGCAGCCTGGCTCCTGTGCCTGCACCCACAAATGCTGGCCCTGGCCTCCCCCACGGGGGGCTGTCGGGCTCACCCCCTTCTGCCAGTCCTGGGGGGCTCAGCCCTCCCCCAGGAGCAGAGTGGGGCAGGGGGAGGCAGGACTGCCCAGCACTCTTCTCTTTCCCAAACTGTTCCCAATGGGGAATGCCTGGGGGCTGCACTGGCAGCACTGGCGATGGAGCTGGGGAGGGGACCCTGAACGCACATCATCCCCCACTCCATGCCAGGCCTTGTGCTGGGCACCTGCTGAGGGGGTCCTGAGCCCACCTACCTCTGCACCAGGCACCTCCTGAGGGGGTTCTGAACCCACCCACCTGCACTGGGCACCTCCTGAGGGGGTTCTGAACCCCCCACCTGCACTGGGCACCTCCTGAGGGGGTTCTGAACCCACCTACCTGCACTGGGCAGCAGGGTTTGGCTGTGAGTGCCGATTTGTGCCCAGGGCTTTGCAGACTCAAGGGCAGCCCCTCCCTGCACTCCAGCAGCCAAAGGTTCCATACCAAACGTTTATTTGGGGGCCAGTGGCCATGCCAACGCTGTAGGGAAGCGTCCGGTGAAGCGCAAAGCAGGAGCAGTGCTGGGCGCCACGGGCAACCCCCCGGCCTGCCCCCCCAGCCCTGGGGGCTGGGTCCCGCAGCGGAGGCAGTGCCATCTGTACCGTGTGTTCGTGGCTGGCTCAGGGTGAGGGTTGTCCCCTGCTCCCCCTGGCTCTGGGGTTAAAGGCACTTGGGGGTGGTGGGGGGTGCAAGGCAGCATGGCAGGGGGAGGCACCTCCCCGCTACTTCTCCTGCATCTTTTCCAGGATGGGCACTATCATGTCAAACTTGGGGCGCTTGGCTGGGTCCTCATTCATGCAGATCTTCATCAGCTTGCAGATGTGGGGGGAGATGCCAGGAGGAATGGTGGGACGGAGCCCTTCGAGTGCCACCTGTGAGCAGGGAAAGGGGCTGGAGTCAGGATCTGAGCCCTGCCCTCACAGACAGGGACACCTTCCACCTGCTCAGGTGGCTCCAAGCCCCTTCAAATCAGGCTTTGGACACTTCAGGGATGAGGCAGCCACAGCTTCTTTGGGCAACCTGTGCCAGGACATAACCACCTTCACAGGGAAGAATATCTTCGCCTTACTTGACTTAAATCACACCCTTCCCCTCTAGCCCCTCACCTTCATGCCAATCTCCATGTTGGACAGGTCAGCAAAGGGCACCTCCCGTGTCACCAGCTCCCACAGCAGCACCGCGAAGCTCCACATGTCGGCCGAGCGCCGGTTGATCTCCTCCGGCTTCTTCTGCAGAGCTGGGGGGTGGCAGGGGGTGAGCGGGGCTGGGGCTAAGCGGGGACAGGCTGTAGGGCTGGGAAAGGGGCACTCACCTTCAGGGGCCACCCAAGCTGGGGCGTACATCCGCCCTGGGCACTGGAAAGAGAACTTGACATCGGCCATGCTGATCCGCGCCGTCATGTCCTCGTCGATCTGGGGAGAGTGGGCAGTCGGCAGGAGCCCCGGGGGAGCCCCCCTGATCTGGGAGGGGGTCTGGGCCCCCCACTCACCATGACACTGCGGCTGTTGAGATGGTGCCGTGGGATGAGGGGTTCCAGTGTGTGCAGGAAGGCCATGCCCCGCGCAATGTCGAAGGCGAACTTCACTGCCTGCATCTGGTCCACCACAAAATCTGGGAAGGGGGTGACAGGGAGTGAGCCTACCCTAGGGCTGCAGCTGGAGAGGGCTCTGCCATCCCCAAATGTGCTTTCCCCCAGCACTCACTGGTCCCTTCATGCAGGACGTTGTACAGGGAGCCATAGGGCATCCAGTGGCTGATGATGATGGGATGGGGGGCCGGGGGGGCCTGGCAGGCACCCAGCACCGGCAGCACGTTGGGGTGGGAGAAGATCCTGCAAGAGAAATGACAGCCCTGAGAATGGGGAGGAGGGGACGAGCTGCCTGCACCCCCTTAGCTGTTCCCTGCCATCCCCCAGGGCCTCCCAGTCCTTGGGCACCGCTCTGGAGCATTCCTGGCCCTGCGGAGCAGGGCAGGTCCCACCTGTCGCACACCCTGAGAGCTGGTATGGCCCTGGTCAGATGCTGGGGTGGGTGGCCCCAAGCAAGTGCTGGTGGTGGCCCCAGGAAGGTGGGGCACTCACCGCAGCTTCGGGTACTCCTCGTTGAAGTCCCGGCTCTTCCGCGTCGTCCAGTCCCGGATTTTCAACATTTTGATGATGATGTCATTGCCCTGCCAGCGACCCTTCCACAGCTGCAGGGGGGCAGGGCATGGGCACTGTGAGAGGGGCAAGAGGTTCCCAGCACCCCCCAGGCGCCTGCCTGGGGCTGGGGGGACTCCTCTGGAGCCCACAGGACTGAGGGTCCACAATGAGCCAGGCAGGAGCCCTGCCCTGCACCCAGCTGTGGGACCCTGGACCAGCCATGCCTGGCGGGGCCAGGACATGGGGCATCTGTACAGGCTTGTCTGGGGGTAGGAGGGACCCACCTCTCCTGACTGGTTCTCGTTGAGCTTCTGACTCAGGTTCAGCTGTTTGAAGTCGATCCCAGCAAGTTTGTTCAGGGTCCCATTTCCTGCAGGAGAAGGGGGATGGATGCCCACAGCTGCCAGACACAGGGTCCAGCATTGGCAGGGCATGGGGGAGCCATGACCCCCTGCCAAAGGACCCCCAGTCCTTACTGGGCCGGGTGCGGGTTGTGCCCTTCCAGAACGTGTCCTTGTAGGGGATCTTGGTGAGGCTCTGGCCAAGCTTCTCGGCGCGCTCTGCGGAGGGACAAGGAGGAGGGTGGCACCCGGTGGCACCCGGAGCCTGTTGTAGCTGGGCAGGTGTGGGGCCCTACAGGGCCCTCATACCTTTCAGGACCTCCCGCAGCGGTGTCTTGGCCTTGTCTGTGGGGGTCTCGCCATATTTGTTAGCAATGCTGACCAGGGCCCCGCTGCCCACCAGGTCCTGAGCGAGCAGAGAGCGAAGTCTGTGGTTTGTGATCTCCCCCCTCCCCTCCTATCCCTCCTGCCCATCCAGGTGCTCCCGCTCACCTCGGCCACCTGCTCGTGTCCCCAGAAACAGGCGTAGTGCAGTGGTGTGTTCCCATGCTCGTTCACTGCATTGATGTCCGCCTTGAACTGCATCAGCTGAGGACAAGGGACAGTCCCTATGAGCCTAATACCGTCCCCATGAGCCCAGCACTGTCCCAGTCCTCCCTGAGCCTTGTCCTGGGGGAGGCAGGAGCAGCACACTGGGAGCTGTAGGGAGGGGGCAGAGCTGGTGTGGGGCTCATAGGGATTCAGAGGGGGTCGGAGGGGGGCCGCTCAGAGGCACTGTGGGCATTGCCAGCTGACGAGGGGAGTGAGCACTGTGTGGGTGGGGCGGTGGGCTTCCCGGGGGGTGGGGAAGGGCAGGTGCTGGCACGAGGCACAGGTACCTTCTGCACGATGTCGCGGTGGCCATGGCTGGCGGCCAGGTGCAGCGGGGTGTCGTCCCCCCGGTTCATGACATTGATGCGAGCCCCCCGCATGATAAGCATGTCCACCACGTTGGAGCGGCCCTCACGGCAGGCCCAGTGAAGGGGGCTGAACCCGTGGTCATCCCTGTGGGGCGGTGGGGGGCCCTGCTCAGCTGTGGCCCCCCAGCCTGGGCACAGTGGGCATTGCCCACCAAACACTGTCCACAGGGCCGGGCTGAGCATCCATCCCACTCCCTCCCATCCCCACCAGGGCCCCGGCAGCACCAGCCAAATCCCGTCTCCTCCAGGGCTGAATCACAGCTGGATCCCCTCCCTGTCCCCCTGCTCCATGGCCAAGTAAGGGAGGAGGCGGCAGCCGGGCCTTAAATGGAGATCAGGGACTGGCAGGGGGGCTGCCACAGCCCCAACTCCCCTCCAGCCCAGGCTTCCTCCATCCCCCTGGCACAGCAGACCCCATCCACCCTCACCGTGGCCCCACAGCCAGGGGGTACCTGGCACAGAATGGCCCTGTCCCTTGGACACCATCTGTGGGACTGGGAGAGCTCCATGTGCCTGGAACCCCAGGAGGGACGGGGAGGCACAGCCTGGGGAGGCCCCTTGTCCAGAGTGCGTCCAGAATGCTGCAGCCATGGCCTGGCCAGGGTTAGGGTGTGAGGCTGGGCTGTGCCAGCTGCACGTGCCATGGGCGGCTGCTCCAAGCCCTGTGCCTGGCCTGAACACGGCTTCTGAATGGCTGTGGGCTCCACAGTCCAGTGGGACCCCTGGAATGAGCTGTGTGGAGCAGAGACCCAGGCACACAGGGCACCCCACGCAGCCCCTGGCCCCAGTGGTCCCGGCCCTCCTGTCAGACCCAGCCGTGTGCCCGCACAGCTGCCGTGGTCTCCCCGGAGAGAGAACGGGGACACAGTCACCAGACAGTGGCACCGCGGGGACAGGGAAGCTTCCCCAGCCCAGCCAAGCCCCCGCCGTGGCCATGGCCGCAAGGAAGTGGCCGGAGGATGTTCGGCCTCGTGCCTCAGCGATGCGGTAACTTCCTCTGGCGGGGAGGAGCTGCATCCCACCGCCTGCCCGGGACACGGAGCCCAGTGCAAATCCCCCGGCACAGCCCCCCCGCCCAGCCTGGCCCCGCTCACCCCTGGTTGAGGTCGTTCTCGGTGTTGTCCAGCCACAGCCGCACAGCCACCGCGTTGCCCTCCCGGCACTGCGTGAAGATGTCATCCATGGCGGCTGTGGGAGGGAAGGGGGGGAAGGACGTGGGGACCCCGATCCCACTCACCCCTGGGGCAGCAAGGGCAGGAGCTCCCAGCCCCCTCCTTGTCCCCTCCCAGCCCTTCCCACAGCCCTGTGGGAGGCCGAGGGCTGGGATGGAGCCGGAGCAGCGGCTGAGGGGAAGTTCCTGGGTGACTCCAGCGGGGCAGTGGCTGCCTGCAGGAAGCCAGACTGGCACCCCCGAGCTTATCACCGGGAACAGCTGGCCCTTTACCCCCAGCTCTGGGGGGAGCAGGGCTGGGGGAGCTCAGCATCCCCAGCATGGGATCCCACAGATTGGGGGGGAGCAGGGCTGAGGGAGTTCAGCATCCCCAGCACAGGATCCTGCAGTTCATTACCCTCCTGACCCTCTTGGCTGGGTCTGGCACAGCACCATGCTCAGGAACCAGGACCCCAAAGCACCATGCGCTTCCCTTGGATCCATGGACACTGCAGCTTGTAGCCAGGCACAGAGCTCCCTCCTGCTGTCTCCCTGAGGCCCCAGCTGTGAGCGTGGGATGCCCTGCCCAGGCTCTGTGGCATCCAGCCGGGACATGGGGTGAGTCTCACAATGTGGGGACAAGGACAGACTGTGAACGATGTGCCCAACGTTCACCTGTGGGGGCTCAAACCTGCTGCCTCAGGGCCCAGTGCCCACCCAGCCACGACAGGACCCCTGCCTGCTGCCAGCACCTGGCAGCAGCCCTCCAGGGCCCTGCCTGCACCCCCTGGCCCAGGCGGCTCCAGGGGTGTGGGATGCAAAGCCCCGGACCCTCGCTGGGGTCTCTCAGGCCCCAGAATGGCCCTGGCACGTCCTGGCAGCACCAGCCCTGTCCCGGCTCTGGAGCACCCACAGCCCCAGACGAGATTTATCCCCCACCCACTTGGGGGCACCCCAGGACGCCCCACACTGGTCCCGGCCCTGTGGTTCCCCATCCTGCTGTCACCGCCGTGGGGACACCCCGCCGTGTCCCCTGCTGCACCCTCCCGTCACCCACCGGCCCCCGCCTGGTCCCGGAGGGCCGCCAGGACCCCCCGCCCCAGCCCAGCCGGGATCGCCAGGTGCCCACCTCCGCCCCGACGAACCCCGGGACCGGACCCACCGCCCCGCGGCGGACGAGATGTGGGGACCTTGTGCCCCCCCCGTGCCCCCGGGTGACCCCAAACCAGCTGCCAGGGCCTCACTCTGCCCTCCCTGCGGTCCTCCCAGTCCCTCCCCTGTGTCCCCACCCCTTCCTGCAGCCCCCTCGCCCGTCCCGCGGCCTGCCCCGCGGTGCGGTGGCGGTGCGTGCCGCCGTTACCGGTGCGCGTCCCGGGCTCCGCAGGGCGGCGGCTGCGGCGGCTCCGCCCGGCACGGCACCCCCTGGCGGCCGGAACCCTCACCGGACACGGCTCCGCCACACGGCACCGGGGCGGGGCCACGGGCGGGGCGCGGTCACCGGGGCGGGGCGCGGTCAACCGGCTGGGGCGGGGCGTGCGCGGCCCCGCCCCCGCACCGGGGCCGCCGGTCCTCCGGGCCGCGAGGGGGCGCTGTGGGCGCGTTGCCGCTGGGCGGGCGCACGTGTGTCCGGTACCGGCGGAGGGGCCCGCGCGGGGCCGGGCCAGGCCGGGGTCCCCGCGCCATGTTTGCAGAGGAGGACTGGCACGGCGCGGCGGAGCCGGTGCCCCGCGGCGCCCCCGAGGGCCCGGGCCGGCCGGTAAGCGGGTGGCGCGGAGGCGGCGGGCCGCGCCGGTCCCGGGCTCGGGGAAGTGACCGGCCCCCGCCCTCCGCAGGGCCCCGCGGCGGGGAAGCGGCTGCCGGGGACCGGCCTGGACGGCGAGGCAGCGCGGAAGCGGCCCCGGGGGCGGAGGAAGGCCGGCGTGCCTCGGGCTGCGGCGGGCGAACGCCCGTCCGGCCCCGGCGAGCCCCGGGAGAACGGGCAGCGCCCGGACACAGGTACCGGGGCGGCTCCGGGGCCCCGCGGGCAACCGGGAGCCGCCGCCGCGCCCTCACCCGCCCTGTCGGTGCCCGCAGACGGCCCGGCCGAGCCGCCAGCGGAGCTGAGCCGGAGGCAGCGGCGGAACCGGCAGAAGAAGCAGCGGCGGCAGCAGCAGGAGGCGGCGGCGGGGCCGAGCGGGGAGCGGGGCTCGGGACCGGGGCCCCCGGAGCCACCGGGCCCCCAGGAGGCGTCCCCAGAGCCCCGCTCCGACCGCTCGGCCGCGCTCCGCGCGCGGATGGAGGAGCGGCTGCTCGGCGCCCGGTTCCGGTACCTGAACCAGCAGCTCTACACCGGCAGCAGCCGGGACGCAGCGCGGCTCTTCCGCGCGGACCCCGCCGCCTTCCACCTGTACCACCGCGGCTTTGAGCGCCAAGTGCGGGGCTGGCCCGAGCGGCCCGTGCAGCGCATCGTGCGCTACCTGCGCCGCCGGTGAGCGAGGACCGGGATTGTGCTGGGGATGGACCGGGGATCGCACCGGGGGGACGCCGGGCCGGGCCGCCTTGACTCCGTTCCCCCCCCCAGGCCGGCGTCAGGAATCGGGTGCACTGCTTCGACCTGGTGCCGCTGAGCCCGCGGGTCACTGTCTGCGATATGGCCGAGGTAACGGGGCACCTCCGGGGCGGGGGCGGGTGGCCCCGGGCAGGCTGCGGGGAGGGGACAGTGACGCCGAGGGTCCTGTGCGTCTCTGCCTCGGGCAGCCAGAGACGGGGCTCAGCTGAACCCACAAGCCTGGGGAGCCCGGTGGGGCTGCCCAGCCCCATTACCACCCTCCTCCTCTGGGCTGTCCCGGGTTGGCAGGTGCCCCTGGCGGACGAGTCGGTGGACGTGGCTGTGTTCTGCCTGGCGCTGATGGGCACCAACCTGCAGGAGATCCTGGGGGAGGCCAACCGCGTGCTCAAGTTGGGGTAGGCAGGGACTGGGGGGCAGTGGAGGTTGGGGTGGGCAGAGGCACTGCCTGTGCCCCGGGGATGCCTGGGTGCCCCGCTAAGAACTGGAGTGACCACAGGGGGACCCTGATGGTGGCCGAGGTGGCCAGCCGCTTCGAGAACATCCATGCCTTCCTGAAGGCCATGGGACATCTGGGCTTCAGGACAGTCTCCAAGGTGCGTCCCTGGGTGTGCCTGTGTTGGGCACTGAGGGTGCACTGGGGAGCCCGGGAAGAAGCCTGTGGGGAAGCTGTGCTGGGGCCCAGCCTCTTGCCGGGGAGGGGGATCAGGCCCTTGGGGTGGTGAAATCACATGGGTGTTGGGGGGGGAACCCAGTGCCCACAGAGATGGGGGTCTGGTCAGAGGTTTGAGGGACTGGGCAGTCATGGGGGTGTAGTGTGGGGGTGTTGGGGAGAGGGGCAACCAGGGGTCGGGGCACTCGAGGCATGCAGGGAAGGGGCTGCTGGGGTCTGGTAGGGGGAGACCTGGGGCCCAGTTGGGCTGTGGTGTGAGGCCTGGGTGTGGTGGAGCCTGGAGCGTGTCAAGGGTTCCAGGGCCCTGGAAGGATTGTGGTTTGGGGGTTGATGATGGAGGTACAGAGGTTGGGAGGTATATTGGGGTCAGGGTCTGGGGTGGCATCTGGGGCACTGGGGGCACACAGAGGCTGGATGGAGGAGGGCCCGGGGCACGCAGGGGGAACATGAGGCTCGCTGGGGTGGCGTGCTGGTGGTGGGTGGTGCTGGCGCTTGCGAGTGCTGGGGTTCCCGGTGACCGTGGGATGCTGGTGATGGAGCCGGCTATCCCCGTGCCCCCAGGACCTCTCCAGCTCCTACTTCTACGTGCTGGAGTTCGCCAAGACGGGCCCGTGCCGGGCGGGCCCCGCCCCGGGGCTGCGGCTGCGGCCCTGCCTGTACAAGCGGCGGTGACGGGGAAGGGGGGCTGGCCCCGCCCCCGCGCTGGCCCCGCCCCCCGCGCGGTCACCACCAATAAAGCCGCTGTTTCCGCTCTGCGTGCGTCTGCGCCCGGGGGCGGGGTGGGCGGGGCCTCGGCTGCGCGTGCGCGGTGCTGCGGGGCCTGCGCGGCGGCGGCTCCCGGGGCCGGTACCGGGATGTCGGGGCCGGGCCCCGGCGGGGCCAAGCTCGACATTAACCGCGCCGGCGTGGCCGAGCTCGAGGGCGCCCTCAGCGGCATCGGCCGCCGCCGCGCCCGCGGCATCGTCCGCAAGAGAGAGGTGCGGGGAAGACGGCGGGGCCGGGGAGGGGGCGGCGGCGGGGGGTGTCGGTCCCGGGGGTGCCGGTCCGGGGGGGCGAACGCGAGGGCCGCGTGCATCTCGGTATCCGGGTTTGCCGCTGGGGTCGGGTCGGGATCCCCGCGGGGCCGGGCGAGCACAGCTGCCCCCGAAGAGGCCCCGACGCCGCCGTCCCTCGCTACCGCCGCCGGGGTACCGGGAGGACGCGGGTTCCGGCAGGGTGGGGCGGGCACCGCGCCCCGGCGGCCTCCGAGTGCTGTCACCGGCGCTGACGGGGCGAGAAGTGCTTGCGGGGGCACCCCGCGGCGACCGGTGCCACGGGCAGGAGCGGCACCGCGGGTCTAGCACGGACCGGCGGGTCAGCGCCAGCCCTGCCTCGGGGGCAGCACCGGAGGCGCTCGGCTTGTTTTGGCCTGGGAAAGGGGAGGTGAGGGGGCGGGAGCAACTGGGAAACACCGGGAATGGCAGCGCCGGGAGGGCAGGAGGCGCTTACGCAAAGGGGAGGTGGTCCGAGGGGCGGTGAGGGGGGGATCCGGAGTAGGGCGGTCCCGCTTGCTGCTGGTGGTGGGGAGCAGCAGCAGGATCATTGCAGTAAACTGAGCCCTGCTGGGTCTGAATGGCTGTCCGGATCCTGCCGGGACTCGGGACTGCGCTGGGTCCTGCCTCGGCACAGCCCGGCCGGGTTCATCCCGTGGCAGGCGCGGCAGGAGCCCATGCAGGTGTGACGGGAGGTTCCTCCTCCCGGGTCGGGGGTCCCGCGGGAGGGCTCGCGTGTGCCCGGGGTCCCGGAGCCGCCGCCTGGCCAGGTGGGCTGTGCCCCGGGAGCTCTCCCCGGCCCCCGGGGGAAACAGTGCCCCTGCCCCGGGGCCGTGCCCGTTCCCCATGAGGCTGCTCGGGCAGGGGATCTGTGGGAGCGGGAGGGATTCCTGGGAGCGGCTATTCCTGGCAGGGCTGACTTCGCTCCCCGCAGGAGCTGAAGGGCTTCACCTGTCTGGATGACCTGCTGCACGTCAAGGGCATCACCACGCGCATCCTGGAGCTCAACAGCCAGCGCATGACGTGCCGGCGGCGCTTGGGCCCCGAGGGGGCCCCGCCGGCCAGCCCCGCCCCGCCAGGGGACAGTGGGGATAGCAGGGTGCCCGTGCCACAGGTAGGGGCAGGGCTGGGGGAGGGGATCTGGCGCTTGGGAGCTCAGGGGAGGTGTGTGGGGAACAGGCAGACCTGCGCTGGGCTCTGGAACAGCTGATGCCTGTGGTCTGGGGGTGCTCAGCCCCATGGCCCCCGTGGTGCTGGTGAGTGGAGCCCCTGTGCTCCGGGGCTCTGGCTCTTGCTGGCAGCTCCCCAGCCCCCAGCCCTGCCCTTGCCTCTCCCTGTGCTCAGGCAGTGGCCGAGGAGGAAGACGAGGAGGAGGAGGACACACCAGGGCCTTGGGAGCCGGAGCACCTCGAGAAGGGCAGCCCCGGGTCCGGAGCAGAGCCTGATGGATCTGGGGGGCGGGGGGTGCTGGAGCCCCCCAGCTCTGCTGGGGAGCAGGAGGAGGAAGAGGAGGAAGAAGAGGAGGAGGAAGAGGAAGGGAGCTGCTGCAGTGAGGAGGGGGAGGATGGCAGCAACGTGTACCTGTACTACACCCTGGGGGAGCGCTGGATCGACTACCTGCAGCGCACAGGCGACCGGGGGCTGCTGCGGCACCTGCGCCCCAAGGTGACCAAGGGGGGGACCAAGGGGGTTGATGAGGTGCTTGGGGGTCCTGCACGGGGGAGGGTGGGGTTGGCTCTTGCTGCTGTCGCTCTGACACACTGAGGGGCTGGGGGCTGTCACGGGGGGCTGCTGGGCTGAGTGCTGGGGGCTCCCTGGTGCCTGGCTGCTGGGGCTGGGGAAGGAGGCCCTGCCTCAGTCCCCAACCCCTTGCCCTGCAGGGGGGGCCCTAATTACCATGTGGACCCTGAAGGGAGGCAGTAGGAGGAGGTGGGGGTTTACCTTGTTGCTCTGGGCAGGACATCCACAGGGTTCGGCTTTGGGCAGGTGATGTGTAGGGAAACCTGGGGTTCAGCTCTGGGCGGGGAGTTCACAGAGGTCCAGGGGTCTGGGTCTGCCTCAGCCACTCCAACCAGCTGTGTCCTGCAGATGAAGCGGAAGTCGGAGAACGGCCCAGATGGCCGGGCCCTGTCCCCTGGGAAGAAGCTGTGCAAGGGCTCTGAGTATGGCAGGTGAGGGGGCTCTGGGTACAGCAGGTGAGTGGGTTCCAAGTGCTAGGGCGGGCACACACCTCCTCCAGCTCACCCTGAGAGGATGCTGGAGCTACCTGGGTTGATCAGGGGTTGGCCCAGGTGACCTCCAGCCCTGACCAGTTGTCCATTTGCTGAGCAGGCTGGGCTGGGGGCTGTGGCCAGGTGAGACTGTGGGCAAGGGGTCAGAGGGGGTCAGTAGGGTGGAGCTCCCAGCGGTGGGGATCAATTCCCAGATCCTCTGGCATTGCGTGGCCTGGAGCAGTGCTGGCACGGCTCACCTGTGCCCTGGCCTCACCTGTGCCTGGTCTCTCCCAGGACACTGGGTCCCTGCACCCCCAGCCCCACCACCACCTTTGGGGACCTGCGCAACGCCAAGGTGGGGCAGGCCCGGCGCCGCCGCATCCCCTCAGTGGCTCCACCACCTGAGCTGCAGGACTGGCTCCGCACTTTCCAGGTACAGCTCATCTAGGGCTCCAAAGGGTGGGAGCCAGGCCTGATGAATCCCCACTGCCGGTAGGGGCTGGGCCCACTGTGCATTTTGGGGAGTTTTGCTCAGGTGAGGTAGCTCAGAGGGGGTGTCAGTCCTGTCCTGCTGCCCCCCCCCCGCCTGGGATGGTGTTACCTGCCACACTGCACGTGACCTGTGACCCACTGCATACGTCCCACTGAGCTCCCACCTTCCTTGGGTTCCTGGCCTGGGGGCTAGGGCAGGAGCTCAGGCTGGCTGGGCTGTGGGCACCAGGGGGTCTCCACCTGTGTGCTGGCCTGTGGCTGGGCACATGGAGCTGGGGGTCACCAGGGGTCCCCCTGCAGCGCTGGAGCGGCCCCGAGAAGCTGCTGGCCCTGGATGAGCTCATTGACCGCTGTGAGCCGGCACAGATCAAGTACATGATGCAGGTCATCGAGCCCCAGTTCCAGCGGGACTTCATCTCTCTGCTCCCCAAGGAGGTGAGCAGGGCTGGGAGCTCGCAGGCACAGCCTGACCCCCTCTAGGGACCCCCATGACCCCTGTTCTCCCTGCAGCTGGCCTTGTATGTCCTGTCCTTCCTGGAGCCGCGGGACCTGCTCCGTGCTGCCCAGACCTGCCGCTACTGGAGGGTCCTGGCTGAGGACAACCTGCTCTGGAGAGAGAAGTGCCGTGAGGAAGGTGAGGACCCCCCAGGCTGGGGGCTGGGGGCCACCCTGGGCTCGGCTCAGGTGAGGCACCGCTGCATTCCCCCTGCAGGGATCGAGGAGCCCTTGCACCTGCGGAAGAGGCGCCTGCTCAGCCCCGGGTTCATGTACAGCCCCTGGAAATTCGCCTTCCTGCGCCAGCACCGCATCGACATGAACTGGCGCAGTGGGGAGCTGCGGCCTCCCAAGGTGGGTCTGGGTGTCCCACCAGGGACAGACTCTGGGGAGCTGAGAGCCCCCAAGCTGGGTCTGGGGCACTGCAATGGGGGGAGTTGGTGTGGGATCTGCCGCACAGAGCAGATCCAGTTCGGAGCAGTGGGGGCAGCAGAAATGGAGTCCCATGGGCTTGGGTAAGGAGGGTCCCTCCTCTCATTCCTCTCCAAGCCCCTGTGCAGGGCTGGAGCCAACCCCAGTACCCAAGGAGGGTACAGATGCCCAGGCCTCACCTGTCTCCCATGCAGGGTCCCAGAGCCCTGGGATGCTCTCCATGGGGCGTCCCTCTTGCCCTCTGGGCAGAGCTCCCACTACCTCTTGTCTTACTCCTGAGCCCCCCCATTCCCTCTTTCCCAGTAGGCCCCTGCCCCTGGCAGCAGCTGCCCAACCACTCCCCCCGGCTCTGCTGCCTTGCAGAAGCATTGAGAGGTGCAGGTCATTTGGGGATCCCTCTGTCCTTCTTCCCCACAGCACCTGCCGCCTCCCACTGTTCACTGTGTTTGAGGGGTCCTGTGGGCTTAGGGGGGCCCATGCTGCTCCCCCTCCATGCCTGTGCTCCCACAGGTGCTGAAAGGCCACGACGACCACGTGATAACCTGCCTGCAGTTCTGCGGGAACCGCATTGTCAGCGGCTCTGACGACAACACGCTCAAGGTGTGGTCAGCTGTCACCGGAGAGGTGAGTGTCACTGTCACAGGGCAGGTGTCACAGTCTGTGGGCAGGTGTCACTGTCACGAGGCATGTGTCACAGTCCATGGGGCAGGTGAGTGTGGCATTGTCACTGCTGCCATGGGGGGGCCAGGACAGGGACCATCCCCCTGTGCTGAGCACAGGTGAGGCTGCACCCTGACTCCTGGTATCAGTTTGGGACCCTGGTGACAAGGACATTGAGCTGTGCTGCTCTGCCCTGCTGCAGGTGGGGGTAGGTGGGAGAGGCCCACCTGTCCCTCACGTCCCGCCCCCTACAGTGTGTTCAGACGCTAGTGGGCCACACGGGGGGCGTGTGGTCCTCCCAGATGAGGGACAGCATCGTCATCAGCGGTTCCACGGACCGCACGCTCAAGGTGTGGAACGCGGATAGCGGCGAGTGTGTGCACACACTGTATGGACACACCTCCACCGTGCGCTGCATGCACCTGCACGGCAACAGGTACGGGCTGAGGGAGCTCTGTGGGAGGGGGGCCTGGGGAGTGAACCTCGTTGCCCCAGGGCCGCCCCGTCAGCCGGGCCCCAGGTGTCCCCTCACCCACAGGGTGGTGAGCGGCTCCCGGGACGCCACACTGCGGCTTTGGGACATCGAGACAGGGCAGTGCCTGCATGTGCTGATGGGACACGTGGCGGCCGTGCGCTGCGTCCAGTACGATGGCAACAAGGTGGTCAGTGGCGCCTATGACTACACGGTCAAGGTGTGGGACCCCGAGAGCGAGAGCTGCACCCACACCCTGCAGGGGCACACCAACCGTGTTTACTCCCTGCAGGTACGGCCTCACACCTCCCCTCCTGCAGCCTTCCCCTCTCCAGCTGCCCTGATTTCCCTGCTCGCTGCAGGTACAACCTCACACACCTGCTCTTGTGCTGCCTTCACCTGTCACTCCCCTGCTTTCCAGTCACAGGGCACAAGCTGTGCCAGACAGTCCCCATGTGTACTGCAGGCACGTGTAGGCCGTGTCTGCGCCGTCAAGGGACATGTCTGAGCAATGCAAGGACACATGGACCACATCTGTGTCCTGTGGGGACACTCCACTTCCCTGACACTCTCTCCCACACATATGCTGTGGGCACAAACACTGGTCTGTACCCATTCCCCAGAGCATTTGTAGACCCCAAAAAAACTGAGGGGTATGTGAGGCTGTGGCTCAGCCACTGAGCCAAGGACTGAGCTGGAGCTGAGGGTGCTGTGTTCCAAACTGGGTGGTGCTGGAGCCAGGGGCATAGCTGGAGCTGGGAGGGCTGCACCCCAAAGCAGGGAGCACTCCTGTCCCCGGTGCTGAACTGGGCCTCCCCCTCTGGCAGTTTGATGGGACACACATCGTAAGCGGGTCCCTGGACACGTCGATCCGGGTGTGGGACGTGGAGAGCGGGAACTGCCTGCACACCCTCATGGGGCACCAGTCCCTCACCAGTGGGATGGAGCTGCGCGACAACATCCTCGTGTCCGGCAACGCTGACTCCACCGTCAAGATCTGGGACATCAAGACGGGGCAGTGCCTGCAGACACTGCAGGGTGAGGGGTGTTCCCCACCCTCAGGGGCCTGCGGGTGGCAGGCAGGGGCTCCCCTTGATCAGGGGGCTGGGAGGGAGCAGTTCCTTCCCTCAAGGGGCTGCAGAGGGAATGAGGCCCCCAGATGCAGGAGGGCAGGTGTCACCTGGCCATGGGTACCCCAGATTGGTGGGGCAGGTGTCACCCTGCTGTGGGTACCTCAGATGTGGTGGGGCAGGTGTCACCTGGCCATGGGTACCCCAGATGCAGGAGGGCAGGTGTCACCCGGCCATGGGTACCCCAGATGCAGGAGGGCAGGTGTCACCTGGCCATGGGTACCCCAGATGCAGGAGGGCAGGTGTCACCTGGCCGTGGGTACCCCAGATGTGGTGAGGGCAGGTGTCACCCGGCCGTGGGTACCCCAGATGTGGTGGGGCAGGTGTCACCTGGCCGTGGGTACCCCAGATGTGGTGGGGCAGGTGTCACCTGGCCTTGGGTGCCCCGCGTACTCCTGGGGCTCACAGCTCTCTCCCCACAGGTCCCAGCAAGCACCAGAGTGCCGTGACCTGCCTGCAGTTCAGCTCCAAGTTCGTGGTGACCAGCTCTGATGACGGGACGGTGAAGCTGTGGGACCTGAAGACGGGGGAGTTTGTGCGGAACCTGGTGGCCCTGGAGAGCGGGGGCTCCGGGGGTGTCGTGTGGCGCATCCGCGCCTCCAACACAAAGCTGGTGTGCGCCGTGGGCAGCCGCAATGGCACCGAGGAGACCAAGCTGCTGGTGCTGGACTTCGATGTGGACCTCAAGTGACCCCGGCCAGCCCGGGGGGCCCGCGGGAGGGGTGGCCCCGGCGCAGGCGCTGGCCCCCGCGGGCAGGACAGGGGGGCGCCCAGCCAGGCCTTATTTATATGCGCGGGAGCGCCTGGCCGGGCCGCAGAAGCATGTTTTATACACAGAATATATCGATTTATTTCTGTACTGGGGCTCCTGCTCTAGCCCTGAGCCCTGGCCAGGGGCTGCGGTGCATCCCCTCTGCCTGTGGGCAGCACAGCAGGGGACAGGCTCTCCGGTGTCACAGTCCATGGGAACCGGCTCTCCCTGTACACACAGGCCCCTGGCTGGGGGTGATGGCCCAGCAGCACCTGACACCCCACAGCACTGGGTGCCTGCTCTGCACCAGCCATTTATAACACCGCTGTCCTGGTGCCCACAGGGGGTCCTGCAGCCCCCCCTGCAGTGACCCCAGCTCTGAGGGCAGCGCTGGCCCTGGGATACCCTGTGCCAGGCTTGTTCTACTCCTTACTCGGGGAGCTCCCCAGCACCGGTGAGAGCTGCAAGACCAAGAACCTCCCCAGTGTGTCCATCGGCAGCCTCTGTGCTGCCCCAGGCCCACACAGAGACCCCATGGAACCCCCAGGGCTGGATGGAGCTGGAGGATCGGGGGTGTCTCTTTGCCCAGGTGAAGCAGCCGTGACCCCTTTCCCCCCAGTGCTACTCCTCTGCCCTGACAGGGCCTCCTGGACACCCTGGTGCTGCCCCTCTGCAACCTCCATGGCACCCCAGCCCCCACAGGGAGACGTCTGTCTCATATTTAGGCAGAATTCCCAGGATTCCCAGTTATGCCGTGGGGTTCCCCCTGCCAGACAGAGTTGGGGTTCCAGTGCCCTCCCGGAGCATGGCATGGAGCCGTCACTGAAGAGACGTTTTATTGGCACCAGAGATCCACTTCCTAAACATCCAGACACGTGGGGGCTCCCCTGGTCCTGTGCCCCCTGCCCCGCCGGCCCGGGGACTGTCGGGGCCGAGCGGAGGCGCTGCTCCCACCCAGAGCTCCGGTGGGGCCCCAGCGCTGCTGCTCCTGCCGGGGCCGGAGGGGCCGGTCCTGCCCCCCGCCGCCGTGGGAAGGCGCGGCCGGGCCGTGCTACGTGCCGGCACCGGGAGCGGCGGGCGAGGGCGCGGCGGGGCCCGCGGCCGGGGTCCCCACGGCGCCGTGCTCGGCCGCGCGGCGCTGCAGGAGCGCGGGCACCAGCCCCACGTAGGAGCTCATCAGGCGGTGGTTGGCGCGGACCAGCCTCGCGGCGCAGCTGTCCAGGCACGACTCCTGCGGGCCGGGACGGGCCGGGGGGGCGGGTTAGGGGGCGCGGGGACTCCCGTGCCGGCCCCCCCTCCCGGCGCCCCGCTCACCTCGCGGCCCGTGAGCAGCCGGTAGTCGAGGGTGCAGACGCAGTGGCGGAAGCAGAGCTCGGTCATGCGGTTGTAAACCAGCAGGAAGTCCCGCAGCTGGAGGGCATGGGAGGGTCACAGCGGGGCAGGGCCAGGACCCCCACACGGGCCCGAGAGCCCCGGGCCCCTCCCTTGCCAACGCGGGGCCTCGGGATCCCACGCCGGGATCCCGGCCCAGAGCCCCACGAGCCCGGCCCCCGCGCCCCCCGTCCCTGGGCTCACGCTGCGGAGCTGCTGCCGGTGCTCGGCCGCGGGGTCCATGCCGGGCCCGCCGCTGTGCCCCGCTCGGCGGGGCCCGGCCCACGGCGCGCCGCTGACGCCGTTTCCGGCCCGGCGCCTCCGTGACGGCGCTTCCGGCGCGTCCGGGCCGAGGCGGAGCGGGAGCGGTGCGGGGGGGCCCGGCGGGGCCGGGGCGCAGGTGGGGCCGGGTCACCGCCCGCGGGGAGCGGCCGCGGGGCGGCGGGGCCCGTCCGCGAGGGGGCCGGGCCGTCTCTGGCCGGTCCCGCCGGGAGCGGCCTCCGGGAGTCCCCGCGGGGGTCGGTCCCGCCGCTCGGCCCGGCCGGGGGTGGGTGCGGGCGGTCGCGTCCCGGGGGCTGTGGGGCCGCTGCCCCGGGAGATGGCGCGGGGCGGTGCCAACCTGTCCCGCGGGGCTCGGCACCGCCGCCGGGCCGGGCCTAGGGACAGGGCACAGATAACGGGCATCTGGAGCCCGCCCCGGGCCCCGCCTGCCCCGGAATGTGGCCGGACCGGTCTGGGCGCTCGGGGCCCCCCCGCACCTCCCGGGCTGCGGACGTGGCTCCCGGCGCGCTGCTGCGGGCCGGGCCGGGTGCCCCGGGACAGCGGCTGCGGGTCCCCGCCGGCGTCTGTGAGGGGACGCGCGGTGCGGCCCCGGGAGCGCGGGGATCCGGGGGAACCTGGGCAGGACAGGGGGGAGACGGCGCGGGGCTGGCATTGGCGCTGGGATCGGGGTTGGGATTGGTGCCTTCGTGACGTGCCGCTCCACTCTCCGGGAGCGTTCTGGAAGCCAGGGCAGCCCCCAGGGCCGGGCGGGGCAGCAGCTGCAGGAGGCCCTGGGCAGGGGCAGAGACGGCTCAGTGCCGGCAGCTGTCGGAGAGTGGGACCCCCTAGGCTGCCCCCTCCTGCCCCTGGCGTCGGAGCCCACCCCCTCGGGTCCCAGCGCCACTTCCTCATCCCCTCAGGCCCTGAGGATGTCGGACGGGATCCTGAGCAAGGCGGCCACCATGGAGATCCCCATCAGCAGCAACGGGGACACGAGCAGCCTGCCCGAGGATGATGGCCTGGAGCAGGTCTGGGGGGCTGGAGACCCCGGGGGGTGTTTGGGGCTGTGCCGGGGCCCTGCTGGGGCCAAGCTGCCCCTGCAGCTCAGCCCCCCGTGCTCCTGTGCCCCTCAGGACCTGCAGCAGGTGATGGTGTCAGGACCCAACCTCAACGAGACCAGCATCGTGTCAGGCGGCTACGGGGGCACAGCCGAGGGCATCATCCCCACAGGCACCATCAAAGGTACGGGGACTGGGCTGGCAGGGGGGCTTCTGCAGGGAAGGGGGGCTCATCTGCTCTCACTGCCCCCGGTTCTGGCATGAGGCTCTGCTCAGCCGAGGCCCCTCCCAGGAGGCTCTGTCCCCGCTGGGCTCAGGCCATGTGCAGGAGCAGCATGGGGGGTGTGCTGCTGACCCCATCCCTGCTCCCCCCAGGCCAAGGTGGGGTCTCTGCCGGGTTAGCTCTGTGCCCTCAGCCAGGACACCCCAACAAGGTTCTCAGAGGCCTTCCAGTGAAGGGTCCTGGCTCTGCCCCAGGCTGGGGGCAGCGAGAGCTCTGGGCTGTGGATGTGGATGGCAGGGGCGGACAGGGGCCACTGAGGCCCTGCTCTCCACTGACCCCTCCTCACTGTCCCGACTGGGCCAGGCCGTGGTGTGCCACAGGAGCCGTGGCACCACTGTCCCTCTGTCCTTGCTCCACACGGATCTGTTCCTGAGAGTCCCTCCATGGCAGACCCCAGCCCCCATGGGGCCTGGGGGGGGTCTGTGTGGGCAGAGGGGGTGTGTGCATGCTCTCCCGGGGCTGGCAGCCCTATACCCCCAGCACACCAGGCCTGCCTGGCTCTCGGAGCAGAGACCCCCACTGAGGGGCCAGAGGAGGCTGGGGGTGTTCCCTGGGGCAGGGGTATCCGTCTGTGTGGCCACAGCCACGTCTCTGGGTTCCAACACTCACCTGCCACCATCGCTCTCCCGCTGCCGCCCGCCTGCACTCTCGTCCCCACTCCCTGCCTCCCGTCCCCTCTGCCTTGGCCATCCCTGTCCCATGCCTTGTGCCCTTCCATCCTGCCCCACCCCCTGCTCGGCGCCCGCAGCCCCCCCGTTTCCAGGCTCTCTTGTCCACCCTCACCCCCCCCGAGGACCGTCGGTGCCCCCCAGTGCGCCCGCTGCCCGCAGGATGGCCCGCCCGGCCGCCGCCCCCACAGGTACTGCCCCTCTCCTTACCCTGACCCATCCTGCTGCCGGGACAAAGGACAGTGCTGATGGGCCTGGGGGTCTCAGAGGTGGGTCCCAGCCAGGGGGTCCCCCCTGTCCCCACAGCCCACGCAGGGGTCTCCTTGTGCTGCCAGGTCCTGCTCTCCCTGGTGATGGGAGACAGCAGGACGGGGCAGGGCCTGGGCTTGGCTGTGCAGGCAGATGTGGCTGGACTGGTGTCTCTTCCCCTATGTGGGACACCCTAGGGGGGCTGGCAGGAGCAGGGACCCCGCCACAGTGCTTGTGAGCTGGTGCTGGGCACATACATAGCTGGAGCTGGGGGCCCTGCTGTGGGGACAGTGGCTCTGAAGGGGAGGGCCTGCCTGGCCACCCATGGGCGCTGCTCCCTGGAGCTGGTGCCAGATCCTGTCCCTGTCCCTGTCCCCATGCCAGGCCCCGGGCTGCACACGCCACCCTCGGGCCCCCCGCCCGGCGGGGAAGAGGTCGTGCGCGGCATCGCCGTCGAGAAGTTTGACATCGTCAAGAAGTGGGGGATCAACACCTACAAGGTGAGGGCTGAGGCGACCCCAGCGGGCCCCCTGACCCCCTCTCCTGCAGTGCTCCGAGCAGCTGCTCTTGGAGCAGCTGGGGGGTCCACACACCCTGTGCCCCCTGACCTCGTATCCCGCAGTGCACCAAGCAGCTGCTGTCGGAGCGGTTCGGGCGGGGGTCCCGCACGGTGGACCTGGAGCTGGAGACGCAGATCGAGCTGCTGCGCGAGACGAAGCGCAAGTACGAGAGCATCCTGCAGCTCGCGCGGGCGCTCACGTCCCACCTGTACAGCCTGGTGCAGACACAGCATGCCCTGGGCGACGCCTTCGCCGACCTCAGCCAGAAATCCCCCGAGCTCCAGGTGTGCCGGGGGGCACACGGGAACTGCCGGCACTGGGGAACGTGTGGGCACCAGGGCCAGGGCTGGGGGGAACACCTGGGCAGCAGGGCAGAATAGGGACACCTGGGCACCAGGACTGGGGGGACACCTGGGCACCAGGGTCAGGGGAGATGGGGACTACTGGGACTGGAGGTAATGGCCTCGGACACCAGCCTGTGCAGGTGGGGATGTGAGCTGGAGGTGGGCTGGGTGGCACTGGGTCGTGGTTGGGCTCAGTGAGGGGAGAGTTTTCCAACCCAAAAGGCCCTCGATGGAGGGGAGCGGGGCTGTGACTGTGGGCCTCTGTCTGGTGCCAGGAGGAGTTCGGGTACAACGCGGAGACGCAGAAGCTGCTGTGCAAGAATGGGGAGACGCTGCTGGGTGCTGTCAACTTCTTTGTGTCCAGCATCAACACTCTGGTCAACAAGACCATGGAGGACACGCTCATGACAGTCAAACAGTATGAGACAGCCAGGTGGGACAGGGGAACCCATGGGGGGCTCAGGGGTTGCAGGGGCTCCAGGGGCAGGTCACTGACGCCAAGGGTCCCTGGCAGGCTGGAGTATGATGCGTACCGCACGGACCTGGAGGAGCTGAGCATGGGCCCGCGTGACGCCGGTGCTGTGAGCCGCCTGGACGCAGCCCAGAGCCAGTTCCAAAGCCACAAGGACAAGTACGAGAAGCTGCGGGCAGACGTGGCCATCAAGCTCAAGTTCCTGGAGGAGAACAAGGTGGGCAGGGGGGTGGTGGGTGGGATGGAGATGGGGTGTGTGGTGGGTTGTGCAGGGATGGGGGACACAGGGATGAGGGATATGGGACAGGGATGGAAGACACGAATGGGAGGCGTAGGGGTGGGGTATCCCTGCAGGGATTTAACAGCCACATCGGATGTGGCACTCGAGAACGTGGTTCAGCAGTGGGGTGGGCAGTGTTGGTGGAGCAGTGGGACTCGGGTGTCTCCGAGGGCTTTCCCAGCCCATTTCTGTGCTGCTGGGCTGGGGTTGGGCCCCCCCAGACCATGACCCCCCTGTCCCAGATCAAGGTGATGCACAAGCAGCTGCTGCTGTTCCACAACGCCATCTCTGCATACTTCGCCGGGAACCAGCAGCAGCTCGAGCAGACGCTCAAGCAGTTCAACATCAAGCTCAAGACCCCTGGCGCCGAGAAGCCCTCCTGGCTGGAGGAGCAGTGAGCCCCCTGCGCCCCCCCAGACAGGGGAGCCCCCCTGTGGGGTACACATGGACCTCAGTTGTGGCCGGGGGCTTGCTGGGGGCACAGCCTGGGTCCACCAGTTGTGGGGGCTGCCACTGGGATGGGGCCTGCCCATCCCACAGCCCTCCTCAGGGTAGGGTCCAGCAACTCCTTAGCAAAGACCCCCATATAGCAGACAGCCTGAGCCCCCCCTGCCCCCCAGCACCACTGAGGGGCTAGGGACCCCCCCTTGCTGGGCTGCACCCCCACCCTGGTCCCCCTGCTCACCTTGGGGTGGGCCGGGACCCTCTACTGCCCTCCTCTGCCTCCCTTGGGCAGGATGGGGGTGCACCCCCGCAGGTCCCTTCCCTGCTGCCCATGGCACAGTGGAGCTGGGGGGGGCCAGCCCCGGAACAGCTGGGTCCCTCCCATGGCAGGGGGCTGTGAGGGTCCCCTGCCGCACCTGGCACCTGGGGGGTTTCCTGCTGTCCCCCCTACACCTGGGTTACCCTGGCTCCCTTCAGGCCAACCGCGAGTGTTTCTGGGGTGGCTGCTCTCACACTCCTGACCGAGGAGGGGCTGCACTCCTCATGCACTCCTCAAAGCCTCACCCTGCTCCCCTGGGCTGCGGTGTCCTGAGCTGGTGGGGGGGGTCCCTGCACCCTGCTGCTAGTGGGGAGGAGGGGGATGCTGGCCAGGCACTGGGACCCTAGGGGGCCAGGGGAGCTCCAAGCAGGGACCAAACGCCAGCAGAGGCACTGGAGGTGCACACGCCTGTCAGTGCATATGTGTGTGCGGGGACACGTGTGTCCCAGGGCACCTGTGCTGCACACGGGGGGTCGGGGTCCTGGCCAGTGTTCCCCCCACCCCACGAGGGGCCCCCAGCCCGCCCCTGCACTTGGGCACTTTCTCCTGAGACAAAACTGTTGGGTTTTTTGCTCATTAATTTAACCTGTAATTTAATGTCGGGATCTGACCCTGATCCCCCTCCCGGTGACGGTCTGACCCCCTCCCACTTCTGTAAGACCCCAATAAACGGTACGGATCAGTGTGTGCGGGGCTGCACCAGGACCCCTGCACTGGGGGGCATGGGGGAGCTGGGAGGTGTTGAGTGACTGCACCACTGGGCTGGGGCTGCTGGGGCTGATGAGAGACACGGGCATGAGTCCTAAAAGGGCCAAGACCCCTGTGACAGGGCCTGGACCTGGGGTGGGGAGCTGGTGCACGGAAGTGGTGGCTCTGGCAGGTGACCGAGGGGCTTGGGAGACATTGCTCCCTTGTCCCCAGGGGGCTGCCCCTCACCCCGACCCCACAGCAGGAGCCGGGTGGGGCTAAATGGGGATGGGCTGGGGGAGCTTGGCCCCGGAGTGCCTCGGGAGTGGGGGCTGGGGGTGCTCAGCCTGGAGGTCCCAGTTCTGTCATTACCATCCCACTGGTCACACCGGGAGTTTGGGTGCCCCTGTTCCCCTTCCCCAGGCTGGGTACTGGGTTTGGTGCCACCTGCTGCCCCCCTCCATCACCCCTCAGCCTGCCACGGCTCCAGCTGCTGTTCCACTGCAACCCCTGGACAACCCCCGGGTCACTGACCTACCCCTGGGACACTCCCTTTGGAAAAACCTGGCCCCCAGGAGGTTCCCAGTCCCCAACGTCCCTCCAGGACACCACCCCCGACACTGAAACCCTCTCCATGGGGGAAGGGGTGGGTGTGGAACCCACTCCTGGGGGTCCCAGTGTGGGGAGTGTTGGGGGGGGTCTCTGCTTCTCACCCCTTGAGGGTCCCGTACATGGGTAGGGTGAACAGGGATACCCACTGGTCCCCAGACATGGATGTGGGGGGTCCCTGATCTCACTGAGCTGCAGGGGTCGGGTGGGCTGCAGGGACAGGGGTGTCACTCCCTGGGGTCTGTGTCACCATGTACCCAGGTGGGGAGTCCCCAGCACCTGCTTTGTCCCACCAGGCCCATCCACCAGATCATGTGGGGGACACTGGGGAAGGGTTAGGGTCCCTGTGGGGGCAAGGGGCTGCTGGAGGTGAGGGTAGGGGGCTGCAGGAGGTCCTTGGTGGAGGAGGGCTCCCTTGAACCCTGCCCTGTGCCACAGGTGTCCCGGCTGCAGCCCCTGGGACCCCCTGAGCCCCAGCACTTTGCTGCTGCTGCTGGAGATGCCCAGCTGGGGACCGGGGGGACTCCTGTGTTCTGGGCACCCCCATGACCCTCCTTGCTCCTGGGGGACTGCGCCGACTGCACAACCAGATCTGGCCTGACTGAGGAATCTTCCAGACACTGAGGATGAGGTGTGGGGTTGGGGCCACATCAGGGACTGTCATATGGATGGGGACAGATTTACTGGGGGGATGGTTCATGGCACAGCTCTGGATCTGTCCTGGAGCCACTTCTCCCCATTGGGACCCCCCAGGGTTGGGAGTCCCTGTGCCCCCCCCGGGCTAGGTCAGGACCCTCCTGTTCCCGTGTCTGCTGTCTCCCCCACACTTCACTCTGGTGGTCACCTGGCCTGGGATGGAGTCACCCGTCTGCATCACCCGAACTCCAGCTCTGCCAGGGCCACCCTCCAGCTGCTCCTCCCCCCCTCCCTCCAAAGGGTGCCATCCAGGAACCTGCTGGAATTCCCTTGGAGACTGCAGCATGTGGGCCTGATGCCATGGTGAGGGGCTCCCGGTGTCCTGAGCTGAGGGGGGTGCCCTGCCCTGCGGGGGGTTGCACCTGAGATGAGGGGGAGTGGTGAGTGGGAGGTCCCATGTGGAGGTGGAGGGGAACCTGTGGCAGTGGGCAGGTGTGAGATCCCCCCAAACTGAGGGGCTGTGCGGGGGGCCACTAGGCTCTGGTATTACTCCTAACGCCCCCTTTATAGCGCTCTTTGTACCTTCTTCATCCTCCTTCATCCCATCCCCACGGTACCCTCTTTATACCCTCCTCCTTTTATAACTCCTTCTTTACTCCTCTTTTTAACCCCCGTGTCCCCCCCGGCCCTCTCTTTAGACCCCCTGTCCCCTTTCCTCTCCCTTTATTCCCGCCTCCCACCCCCCTCATTTACCTCCGCACTTGGTGAGCCCCCCCAAATCTCCACCCGCACCCCTCTCCTCCATCCCATTCTCCCGGCAATTTGGGGGGGTAAAACCCCCCAAATTCGGGGGCGGGATGCTGTTGCCGTGGCAACAGCCGGGTACCCCGGGATGCGCGGAGCCCCCCCCACTGCAGAGCCACAGCCCGGGCGAGACCACTCTTATCGTGGGGGGGTGTTTGGGGGTCGCTTTACGCACTTTCCCACGGGATCCCCACCGTGGACCCCACACTCCAGGGGGCAACGCGTCGCGAGCGACGCGTTGCCCCAGTGTGGGGTCCGCGGTGGGGGCGTCCCGTGGAAGGGGGAAGGGGTGACAAGTCTAATCCCCCCCTCCCGGCGCCGTTGGTGCCGCCCGGCCCGGCCGCCTCCCTGTCGCATCCCGGGCCGGGGCCGAGGATGCGCCGTGGGGTCCCGCGGCGTGGGCTGGAGCGAGGAGGGGGCTACGAGAGGGTGAGTGGGGTCAGGGGGCCCGAGGGGAGGGCGGTGGGCACGGGGTGGGCGGTGGGAGATCAAGGCGCCGGGGGACGATCGTGGGGTGGGTGAAGGGGATTGGGGGGAGGTGAGCGGGGATGAAAGGGCAGACCCCACGGGGAAATGCGGGGTGGGGATGCCCCGAGACACCCCACGGGGTCCTGGTGTGGCGGGGGCGGTGCCGCACAATGGCGGCCGGGGGCGGGGCCGGGGGCCTGGAGCGCGGAGCTGCTGCAGCGCCGTGAGCGGGGCCGGGGCAGAGAGGAGGGCGATGGGGTGGGGGCGATGGGTGCTCCTTGGGGCAGGGGGTGGGGTAAGAGCTGCGGGGCACAGGAGGGAGGGAAGTGGCGTCAGGGTGGAGGGTGCGGGTGCTGTGGCGTGGGTGCCCCGTGGGGTAGGGGTGGATGCCATGGGGCGCAGTGGGGTCCGTGGGTCTGTGCGACGTGAGTGCTGGGGGCATGGGGGCGTGTGGGGCTGGGGGGCAGGTGTGGGGCTGGCTCTGGGTGCCTGGGGGTCATGGGTACATTGCTGGGCAGGGGGAGCCTCCCTACGTGCCCCACGATGTGTCTGTGGGATCGGAGACTGTGGGTGCTGTGGGTCAGGGCTGTGCATACTCCAGGGTGCCTCCACCCCACTTACCCTCCTGCCGCAGGGTGACGGTCCACCAGGGCCCTCTGTGAGGGCGTGGGGTGGGCAAGGGGCAGTGGGGTGCTGTGGGTTGAGTGGGGGGTTGTGGGGTGCCATGGGGTGCTCCTGACCCGTTTACATCCCCCCCTCCCCAGGCTGACAGTCTGCCGTGGCCCACCGTGAGCCTGTGGGGTGGGTGGGGGCTGTGGGCCCTGGCTGTGGGGTGCTGTGGAGCTCCATGGGGTGCTGTGGAGTGCCCCCCTCACTGTGCCATGCCCCCCAGGCTGAGGAGCCACCATGGCCCGCCGCGAGCCCTCCAGCCCGGTGGTGCGGCAGATCGACCAGCAGTTCCTGGTCTGCAGCATCTGCCTCGACCGCTACCGCAACCCCAAGGTGCTGCCCTGCCTGCACACCTTCTGCGAGAGGTGGGACCCCCTTAGCCCCCCTGAGTCCCCCTGAACCCCCCCAAACCCTATCCCTGCCTGCACACCTTCTGTGAGAGGTGGGACCCCTCACCACAGACCCTCACCGCGCCCCTGATATCCCCCCTGTGCCCCAGCACCCCCTTTCCATCCCACCATGTCTCTGAGACCCCTGTATCCCCCTGCACACGCTCTGCCCTGCTGTGTCTCCTCAGCATCCAACCCCCCCACATCCCCATGGTGTCCTGACTGTACCCCCGATACAACCCCACTGTCCTGGCTGCACCCCCCAGCAGCCCCCTCCGCCATGCCCCTGGCTGTGCTGCATTCTTGCTGCAGCCCCCTGGCCCCCCTCATCCAGTCCGCCCTGCCTCCCCAGTGCCCCCAGCCCCCTTCTGCCTTGCTGCACACCACTGTGTCCCCCAGCTCGGCCCTCCTCACTGACCCCTGCCGATGGTTGTGCCCCCGTTGTCCCCCCTTGCACCCCTCAAACCCACAGCATGAGTCCCCCCAGTGCCCCCCACCAGTGGAAGAGCCAGGGTCCCCTGGACCCCTTGCCCCCCTAGTGAGAGACAGGGCCAAGCCCCCCCGTGCCCCCAGGGGTGGGGAACTGAGACCCCCCTGCACTCCACAGCCCATGGCAGGACTGGGACTCCATTGCTGTGCCCAGCCCCTGAGCGCCCCAGGCGGGGGGTGTATGGGGGGCTGTGGCTGGGGTCCCTGCAGTGGGGGGGTTTTGGTGCTGACAGCCCCCTCTCTCTGTGCCCCCAGAGCCTCCCCGACCCTGCCCCAGTCCCCCCATCCCCTTCCTATCCATCTCCCCCGAGGGTGCTGGCACCCCTGCGCTGTGTCCATACTGTCCATCTGCATTTGTCTGGCTGGCTGCCCCCCTGCCACCGCTCCCCCTCAGTGTGACACCACACAGCCCTCCTGTCTGTCTGTCCGTCTGTCCTGCTGACACCCCGGTGTGACACTGCACAGCCCTCCCGTCTGTCAGTCCGTCTGTCTCCCCTGCCCCATTCCTGCACCCCAGTGTGACACAGAGCAGGCTCCTCTCTTGTCCATCTGTCCCCCTGGTCTGTCTCCCATTCCCCCATTCCTGCACCCCAGTGTGCCAATGCACAGCCCCTCTGTCCCCCTGTCCATCTGTCCATCCTGCTGCTCCCCTGTTTGTGTGTCCCCTGAACCCCCTCATCCATCTGTCCATCCTGCTGCCCCCTGACTCCCCTGTCTGTCTGTCCATCTTGCTGTCCCACTGTCCCTCTGCCCCTGCCCCACATGCCCCAATGTGCAGCCCCCTCGTCCGTCTGTCTGTCCCCCTGCCACTGCCTGCCCCTAGCTCTGTCCCTGTGCCCCTGTTCCACATCCTGACCCCCTGTCTGTCTGCCCATCCCCAACCCAATGGCTCTGCCCCTGTCTCACAGTCCCTGTCCCCCGTTCACCTCCACCATCCATCTCTCTGTCTCCCTGTCCATCCATCTGTCCCTCTGTTCCCTTGTTCTGCCCCCATCCCCATCCCCAGCAGATCCCGCCCCTCCATCCCCATCCCGCTGTCCCTCCATCTGTCCCCCCCTTCTGTCACCCTGTTTTCCCCCATGTACCCCTACAAGCCCCGTTCCTGTCCCTGCCCCCTCCGTGTCCCAGCTCAGAGCCTGTCCCTGTCCAGCCCTGGGTTACCCCTGCCCTGACCCCTGTTACCCCTTGTGACCCCAGGCTCCTGCAGAACTACACCCAGGCCCAGAGCCTGTCCCTGTTGTGCTCTCTGTGCCCCCTGAGCCCTGTGACCCCACTGCCCCTGTGACCCCCATGGGCCCTGTGACCCCAGGTGCCTGCAGAACTACATCCCGGCCCAGAGCCTGTCCCTGTCGTGCCCTGTGTGCCGCCAGACCTCGATCCTGCCCGAGCGGGGGGTCCCAGCACTGCCCAACAACTTCTTCATCACCAACCTGATGGAGGTGCTGCAGCGGGACCCCGACCCCCGTGGGGCCCCCCCCGCGCCTCTGCCCCCCCTGGGCGCCGCCACCGGGCAGCCCCTCTGCTGCCCCAACCACGAGGAAAGGTGGGGGCTGGGGAGAGCTTGGGAGGCTGGGGGCTGGAGGGCTGAGGGGCCTGCAATGGGCTATATGGGCTCGAGGGGTTGAGGGAGCAGGGGGATTGGAGGTCTGCAGGAGCTGGAGGGGCTCAGGGGCTGTGGGATCTGGGGAGGGCTGGGGTAACAGCGGGGGCTGTGGGGATCTGTGGGGGTCAAGGAGGTCTTGGGGGCTGCAGGCCTTGGAGAGGGAGTCCAGGGTGGGCCTGGGGGGGCTACAGTGGTCCAGGGAGTCTGGGGGACACTGTGGGAGCTGTGTGGGCTCAGGAGGGGGTTCAGGGGACCACAGAGCCCCATGGGCTGGGGCGGGGGGCAGCTGACGAGCACAGGTGTGGCAGGTGATGGAGTTCTACTGCGAGACGTGCGAGACAGCAATGTGCCGGGAGTGCACGGAGGGGGAGCGGCGGGAGCACCGGGACCACCACACGGTGCCACTGCGGGATGTGCTGGAGCAGCACAAGGCGGCCCTGCAGCACCAGCTCGATGCTGTGCGTGCCAGGTATGGGGACTGGGGAGTGCATGGGGATCCCACGGCCCCGCTCCCTCAGGCTGCAGGACCAGCTCGGTGTCACCCACACATGGTACAGGGGGAAGGAAGGCTGTAGGGACTGGGGCTGGTCCAGGGGGGTCTGGGGTCCCCTACCATCCTCATCCTGCAACCTCCTGCAGCTGATGGTGGCTGGGAGTGCTGTGGGGGTCTTTGGGGGTTCAGGGGGTCCCCATGTTCCCCCAGGCTCCCAGAGCTGGCAGTGGCAGTGAGGCTGTTGGCTGAAATCAGCTGGGGCAGCACTGTGGGGCTGGGGGTGCTGGAAGAGGGAGCTGGAGGTCTGGAGGCATTCAGGGGCTCCCCTTGTCCCCCCAGGCTCCCGCAGCTTGCAGCAGCTGTGGGGCTGGTGGCCGAGATCAGCCGGCAGCTGGGGCAGCGCCGCGCCGAGGCTGAGGCTGAGATTGGCAGCAGCTTCGAGGAGCTGGAGGCAGCTCTGCGGCAGCGGCGGGAGGTGCTGCTGCGCGACCTGGAAGCCACCTGTGCTGCCAAGCAGCAGGTAACGCACCTGTCCCCATGTGCCCCTCCTCTGTGCTTCTGCACCCCTTGCCAGCCCTTCCTGGGAGGGTGTGCATGCCCCAGCCGCGCCCCAGTGCCAGTGGAACCACCAGTGCGGCAGTTGGGGTTGTGGGGTTCTGGCCATGGCTGTGGTGCAGGTGCAGGTGCCAGTGGGGGATGCAGGAGGGGCATTGATTGGGGGTACTGGGTGTGGGGGTCCTGCCCCGATGCCACAGGGATATAACATCCAGCCCAGAGGCGCTGGAGGTGCAGCTGGAGGTGCTGTGGCCGGGCCAGGGCTGGGGTGCAGACAGTGATGCAGGTGTGGGTGCTGGGTGTGGGTCCCACCTGGTATCACAGATGCTGTTCCCCCCCAGGTGCTGGAGGCGCAGCTGGAGGTGCTGCGGCAGGGCCAGGAGAGCATCCTGAGCAGCTGTGCGTTCACAGAGCAGGCGCTGCACCACGGCTCGGCCACAGAGGTGCTGCTGGTGCAGAAGCAGATGGGCGAGCGGCTGCGGGAGCTGGCGGCGCGGCCCTTCCCTGAGCACCCGCACGAGAACGCGCAGCTCGAGTTCCACGCCGAGCCCGAGGGGCTGCGCCGCTCCATCCAGAACCTGGGCTCGCTGCTGACCACCAGCGCCACGGCGCACACCACGGTGGCCACGGGCGAGGGGCTGCGCCAGGCCGTGGTGGGTCAGCCCTGCTCGCTCAGCGTCACCACCAAGGACAAGGACGGGGCGCTGGTGCGCAGCGGCGGCGCCCGCCTGCGCTTCGCCGTGACGGGCCCCGACGGCGCCGCGGCCGAGGCCGAGGTGCAGGACAACCGCAACGGCACCTACGAGCTGGTGTACACACCTCGCGCCGAGGGCGACTTCGTGCTGTCCATCCTGCTGTACGGGCAGCCCGTGCGCGGCTCCCCCTTCCGCGCCCGCGCCCTGCGCCCCGGCGACGTGCCCCCGTCCCCTGAGGAGGCCAAGCGCCGCGTCAAGTCCCCCGGCGGGGGGCACGTGCGGCAGAAAGCCCTGCGCCGCCCCGCCAGCATGTACGGCAGCGCCAAGCGCAAGGAGAACCCCATCGAGGACGAGCTCATCTTCCGTGTCGGTGAGCGGGTGGCTTGGGGGGGACCTTGGTGCTCACCAGGGTGGTGGGGGCTCATGAGGGTGTTGGGGAGCTCCTCAGGGCTCCCCCCAGCAGGAGAACCCCAGGACAGTGGGGACTCCCTAGGGTGGTAGGGCTCCCCACAGCGGCAGGGACTCCCCAGGGCTCCCTGAGGCTCTCTGGGGTTGTGGGGGAGTCCCTAGTGTGGTGGAGGGCCCCAGAGGTGGCAGGGGTTCACTGGGGGATTAATGGTCTCCTGGGGCCCCCTGTGCCCCCCTGACCGGTGCTCTCAGGTAGCCGCGGCCGGGAGAAGGGCGAGTTCACAAACCTGCAGGGGATCTCCACGTCCAGCGCCGGTCGTATCGTCGTGGCTGACAGCAACAACCAGTGTGTGCAGGTACAGACCCCCCTGGGACTCCCAGACTTCCTTGGGACCCCCACTGACACTCTGCTGACCCCTGCTGAATCCCCCATGCCCCTCTGACTCCAACAGCAGCAACCAGTGCATGCAGATATGGACTCCTGGGGTCCCCACTGACCTCCCCCAAGACCCTCCTGGGTACCCCTGGATCCCCATGACCCCACTGGCCCCATCAGCAATAACCAGTGTGTGCAGGTACAGGCCCGCCTGGACCCACAAACTCCCCCAGGACACCCACTGACTCCCCTGGGACACCCCTGACCCTGCTGCCCCCCTAGGTGTTCAGTAATGAGAGGAAGTTCTGGCTGTGTTTTGGGGTGCAGGGGTGCTCCCCCTGACCCCCCCGGCCCTGCTGCTCCCCCAGGTCTTCAGTAATGAGGGGCAGTTTCGGCTGCGTTTCGGGGTGCGGGGGCGCTCCCCGGGGCAGCTCCAACGCCCCACGGGGGTCTCTGTGGACACCAACGGTGACATCATTGTGGCCGACTACGACAACCGCTGGGTCAGCGTGTTCTCCCCTGAGGGCAAGTTCAAGGTGAGGGAAAAGGAAGGGGGGGGTCTGCCGGGGGGGTCTGTGGGGCTGGATGTCCACAGCAGTCCCCAGCCTGACCCCCTGCCTCCCCCAGACGAAGCTGGGTGCAGGGCGGCTGATGGGCCCTAAGGGCGTCGCCGTGGACCGCAACGGGCACATCATCGTGGTGGACAACAAGGCGTGCTGCGTCTTCATCTTCCAGCCCAACGGGAAGCTGGTGGCGCGTTTCGGCTCCCGCGGCACTGCCGAGCGCCAGTTCGCAGGTACCCCCCAGACCCCTGGCTGTGGGGCCTTGGGCTCCCCAGGGACCGGGGCAGGCAGGACCATGTGTCTGGCATCACCAGGGTGGCTGGTGGCACTGGGGCCCCAGCAATGGGCTGGGGGCTAGGTCCAGGCTCTGGGTCCAGCTTCTGGGTCCGGGCTGGGGCTCTGGATCCAGGCTCTCGGCCTGGGGTTTGTTCTGAGCTCTGGTTTGACTTCTGGGGCTGGATGGGTGCTCAGGGTCTGATTCTGGCTCCAGGGCCAGGTTTGGGGATCTGGGCTGGGGATCCGGTTCTAGGTTCTGGCTCTGGGTTCTGTATTCAGTTCTAGGCTGGGCCTCCGGGCTCAGGTTCTGACAGTGGCTCCATCCCGGTGGCCCTGGGTTCTGGGCTCTGTCCATGGGTCAGGGCTTTGGGTCCATCCTGGTCCTGCTGTGGGGCCAGAGGTGAGCCCTGCCATTCCCCCATGGCTGAGCCCCCCAGTCCCAGGGCTGACCCCCCCATGTCTCCCCCAGGGCCCCACTTTGTGGCTGTCAACAACAAGAATGAGATCGTGGTGACTGACTTCCACAACCACTCCGTGAAGGTGAGCCAGTGCCGGGGTCCTCCTGGTGCTGTGGGACCGGGGGGGCCGTGGTGACAGCCCCTGACACGCCGGTGTGTCCCCCCTGCACACTCCCAGGTGTACAACGCAGAGGGCGAGTTCCTGTTCAAGTTTGGGTCACACGGGGAAGGCAATGGGCAGTTCAACGCGCCCACGGGCGTGGCTGTGGACAGCAACGGCAACATCATCGTGGCTGACTGGGGCAACAGTCGCATCCAGGTACTGCCCCTGCACAGCTGCACCTGCACACACACCTGTACCTGCACAAACCACTGCACCTGCACACACACCTGTACCTGCACCAACTGCTCCACCTGCACACACCCCCACCTGCAGCCCCAGGGGGCCCAGAACCAGCCCCTCCCCAACCCCTCTCCATCCCATCCCTGAACCCCCAGCCCCCAGGTGTTCTTGATGGGATGCCCTGGGAGGCACTGGGAAGGTGCTACGGGGCACCTGGAGGGCGCTGGGAGACAAGTGGTATTAACTGGGAGGAACTGGGAGGGGTCTAGGGTCATGTGGGAAAAGTGTGGGGTCAACTGGAAGCAACTGGGAAGGGTCTTGGGTCAACTGGTAAGAGTCTATGAGGGATGTATGGGAGGAACTGGGAAGAGTTTTGGGCCAACTGGAAGCAACTGGGTTGGCCTGGGGAGAAGTCCGAGGTCATGTGAGAGCAACTGGGATGGACTGAGGAGGGGTTTAGGGTTAACTGGGAGCAACTGAGAAGGATCTTGGGTCAACTGGGATGGACCTGGTGGGACTTGACCATGTCCTCCCTACAGGGAGTGGGTCTTGCAGACCCCGTGCAGGTCCAAGGGCCGTCAGGGCAAGTGGTCCCTGGGCTGTGGGGGGCCATTGGGGCTGGGGGTCCCTGGGCCGTGAGGCTGTCAGGGACATCCGTGTCCCCCCGCAGGTGTTTGACAGCGCGGGCTCGTTCCTGTCCTACATCAACACGGCGGCCGACCCGCTGTACGGGCCGCAGGGGCTGGCGCTCACCTCCGACGGCCACGTGGTCGTGGCTGACTCGGGCAACCACTGCTTCAAGGCCTATCGCTACCTGCAGTGACGGTCGGACCGCGGGGATGCCACGGCAGGACGGGCCTGCGGTGCCCCGAGGGACGGCTGCCCCCGGCCTTGTGCCCCCACGCGCTGCCCTGGCTTCATGTGCACTTTATCCTGGGGGGTGGCTGGGCCTGGGGGGCGAGGACGGGTCCCACGGGGTGGGGGCTGCCTGGGGGTCACAGTCTGACCCCTCCTCCTGGAGCCACAGTGCCCTGGCTGATGGGGGTCCCCGAGGTGCGGGGGGGTGTGTGGGGCAGGGGGAGCCATGGGCAGGGTGGGGGGCCTGGGGGGCGGTCAGTCCTGGAGCCCTACAGGGGCTGCCCCCCGGCCCCAAGCCCCAGCCGTGGGGTGATGGCACGTGCCTGCCGCCCCACCCCTGGCACTGCTGCCTCACAGCACTGCTGCCCCACAGGGCCCCCCTGCCCCAGGGGGCTCGGGGGCTGAGGGGCGGCTGCCGCACGCTGACAAACTGTATGTACAAAATAAAGTATTCTGGAACTACCCCGGCCCCTCCTGCCCCACAGCCCTGCCTGCCCCGCACATACTCTCCCCAGCACTGCTGCCCCCCCACGTCCTGGGGCCCCCCCGGCAGTGCCAGGCTGAGCAGGGACAGGGCAGTGCCTGGAGCTCGGTGGCACCGTGGGCACTGCCCAGCCTGGGCGTTCTGCCAGCACTGACCCTTCTGCAGGGATGGGGACGGGCTGGGGCAGACTGGGAAAGGGGACAGGATGTGCTGGTCTCAGCTGGAAATGGGGACAGGGATGGACTGGTCTGTGTCAGTCAGACTGGTCCATACTGGCAGCAGGCATTGGGCTGGACTGGTCTATACTGGGGGAGGGGACTGCTTTGGACTGATCTGTACCTCTACTGGGTCATACTCATCTGTAGTGGGTCAAACCAGGCTATAGTGGAGTAGAGATTGGGTCATGCTGGTTCTTACTGGGTCAGACTGGTCTGTACTGGGAGAAGGGTCTGGGTCAGTGACCTGGTAAGCCACTCAGATCCCACAGGTCCCTGGGGCCAATGGACCCCTGGGTGCACCATGGGGGCTGTGGGGGGGTCCCGGAGCTGCTCCCGCCACTCCCCTCAGGCCCGGCCCCCCAGGGGGATCCCAGACAACAACAGAGCTTGCATGGACCCTCCCCATCATTCCTCACAGCCCCCACCCCCCGGGAGGTCCCAGGTCCTGGAGGTGCCCAGTGACCCCTCCCCGAGCAGGGCTGAGAGGAGGATCCAGGGAAGTCCAGGCTGTCCCTGCCCTGACTGCTGGGAAAGCCCTAAACAGATCACCCTGAGGAGATGCCACTGCAGGGGCAGGACAACCAGGGATCAGATCCAGCTGGGGTTGGAAACACAGGTCCTGCCTGACCCACCTGATCTGCCGTGCCCAGGTGACCCGGTGGGTGTGGGACAGGTGTGGGTGTGTCTGCCTGGAGCTCAGCAAAGCCTTTGGCACCATCTCCCCTGGCTCTCCTGCAGCCCCAGGCTGGGATAGCTCCTGGCTGATGGCTGGGAACAGGGAGGGGTGGGAATGGGGACACACCCAGTGGGGTGGGCACTGCTGGGGTTCCCCAGGGCTCCCTGTGGGGCCCATCCTGCTGAGCATCTTCATCGATGACATGGATGAGGGCATCGAGGGCACCCGCAGTTCAGTGACGACACCGACTGGGCTTGGATGGGGATCTGCCGGAGGGCAGGAAGGCTCTGCAGAGGGATCTGGACAGACTGGATTGACTGGCTGAGGCCAACAGGCTGAGGGTCAACATGGCCCAGGCCTGGCTCCTGCCCTTGAGTCACCACAACGCCCTGGAATGCTCCAGGTTGGGATAGAGGGACTGGAAAAATGGAAAAGGCCCGGGGGGGGGATGCTGGTGACAGCAGCTTGACATGAACCCACGTGTGCCCAGGTGGCCAATGCCCAGTGTGGGCACAGCCCAGGGCAGGGATTGTCCCCTGTGCTGGCACTGCTGAGGGACCCCCAGGGCTGTGTCCAGTTCTGGGACCTCATGGAAGACACTGAGGGGCTGGAGCGTGTGCAGGGAAGGGACTGGAGCTGGGAAGGGGCTGGAGCAGCAGGAGGGGCTGAGGGAGCTGGGGGGGCTCAGCCTGGAGAAAAGGAGGCTCAGGGGGGACCTTCTGGCTCTGCAACCCCTGCCAGGAGGGGGGAGCCAGGGGGGGTCGGGCTCTGCTCCCAGGGAACAGGGACAGGAGGAGAGGGAACGGCCTCCAGCTGTGCCAGGGGAGGCTCAGGTTGGCCAGGAGGAGGAATTTGTTGCTGGCAAGGGTGGTGAGGCCTTGGCAGGGGCTGCCCAGGGAGGTTTGGAGTGCCCAGCCCTGGAGGTGTCCAAGGCAGGCCTGGCCGTGGCACTCAGTGCTCTGGGCTGGGGGACAGGGTGGGGATGGGGCACAGGGGGATCCATGGGCTGGGAGGGCTTTTCCAGCCTCAGGGATCCCGGGATTCTGTACTGGGTCAGACAGGTCCATACTGGGAGCAGCGATCTTGCATCCCCCGTGTCCCCATCGCTGCCCCAACACCCCGGGCCGGACCCCCCGCCCGGTGCTGCCATTCCGGGGTCGGTCAGAGCTGGAGCCCCGAGACCCCCGGCCCCCTGTGCCAGTGCAGGGACACGGCCGGTGTGGAGGGCACCGGCCCCGGGGGTGGCACCGGGTGGGGGCCGCGGATCCTCCAGCCCTCCCGGTTCCTGCTGCGCCCCACGGGCCGGACAGAGCCCCCCGCCACCGGCAGTGCCCGGGGAGGCCGCGCTGGTCCCGGGAAGGGTCCCGGTGGGTCCCGCCCGGCTCCCGCCATTCCCGGTGGGAGGGGGCGCTGTCCCCCTCTGTCCGGAAGCGGAAGTGACGCAGCCCCCGAGCCCCCCTCCAGCCCCCCCGCGACCCCCCGGCAGCGGAGCCGCCGCCGCAGGTACCGGGAATGGGATTGGGATGGGAGCGGGGATGGGAGCGGGAACGGCGATGGGGATGGGGATGGGGATGGGCCGGAGGGAGCGGGGGGGGATGCGCGGGGGTGCACGGGCCGGCCCCGCTGCGCGGTGGGGTCGATGGGGATGCCGCGGTCGCTGAGACCCCGCGGGCCCGGCCCGGGCGGGGGGCTCGGTCCGTGCGGGGTCCCCGGGGATCTGTCCTGGCCGGGCCGCGGGGCGGGCGCGGAGGGACCCCGGGCGGGGGGAGCCGGGGGATCGTGGGGTCCGTGGCCGGGGTCCCCTGCCCGCTCTGCCCCCCGCTCCCCCAGGCCCGATGGACGCGGAGGTGCCCCGGGGGCTGTAGGACCCCCCAGCGGCAGGAGCTGCCGGGCCGGGCCGGGGGCTCCCGCTGTGCCGGGGGTCGCGCCCGTCCCCGTGTCCTCGCCATGTCGGGGGCCCTGAGCAAGCGCAGCGACCTCGCCAACGACAACCGGTGCCCGGGGCTGAGCCTGGGGCTGCCCCCCGAGCCCCGCACCGGGCCCGGCGGGGCCCCGGCCGAGGAGCTGCCCGGTGCCGGCTGGGCGAAGGCCGGCCGGGACCAGAACCGCAACGAGTTGGAGCCGGGGCCGGGCCCGGGGGGGTCCCCGGGGGCGCTCGAGCCGGGGGTCCAGGCCCGCAACGCCCGGAACGCCGCCGGGGACCCCCGGGCGCTGCTGATCGGCGCCTCGGAGGAAGAGGAGGAGGAGGACGAGGACGAGGAGGACGAGGAGGAGGAGGACGGGGCCGGGGTCTCCCCGCCGGCCCTGGGCGCGGAGCGGGGCCCGCGGGAGCCCCCTGGGCGCAGCGCCAGCCGCCTCTTCGGGGGGCCCGGGCCCGGTAGCGACGAGGACTCGAGCTGGGCCACCCTGAGCCAGGGCAGCTCCCCCGACGAGCCAGGTGGGCACCACGGTGACCTGTGACTGCCCCACGGCCACCCCTGCCTGCCTCTTCCCCTGTACCCCCCTGCTCCTGTCAGCCCCACATCTGCCCTCACCCCTGGCTGTGTGTCCACCGCTGTCCCCCAGCCCCTGTTTAGCTCCATGGTCCCCCCTATTTTCCCCCTTGTCCCTGTGGAGCCCTCCTGGGGACCCCCATGTCCTTGGGCCCGGGGGCTGTGTGGGGCTGTGTGTGGGGCTGGGCTGACCCCCCTGACTCCCCCATGCCCCCCAGAGTCGCTGTGGCCACGCGATGCAGGGGCACACGGGGACCTGCCCCCTGGGTGGCTGCGGGTGCAGGACACCTCCGGCACCTACTACTGGCACGTCCCCACCGGCACCACCCAGTGGGAACCCCCTGGGGGGCCCCACGAGACCCCCTCTGATGGCAGCACCCCCACCGAGGGGCCCACTGTGAGTGGGGACCGGGGGGTGGCTGTGGGGCAGCTGAGGGACGGGATGGGTGTGGAGTGACCACAGGGTGGCCGTGCAACAGCTGTGGGGAGGCCAAGGTGGCTGCATGGGGTGACCATGGGGTGGCTGTGGGGCAGCCATGAGCCATGGGGTGACTGGGGACAGTTGTGGGGCAGCTTGGCGTGGCTGTTCGTGGTTGCCATGGGGCATCGGTGTTTGTAGGTCAGGAGTGGGGTGGCCACAGTGTGCTAGGGGATGACTGGGGGGCAACCGTGGGGTGCCTTTGGTGTGACTGGGGGCTGCTGTGGGGTGGGGTGGCTGTGGGGCACAGGACGCCCATGGGGTGGCAGTGGGCTGCTGTGGGGCTGCCCCATGGTGCCCCCTGAGCCAAACCACCCTCCCCAGCTCTCCTGGACGAGCTTCGCCCCAGCCGAGACCTTCGGCGACGGAGACTTGTGGAAGGTGAGGGGGGGCAGTGGGGGAAGGGGGAGGAGGCGTCAGTGCCCCCCCAGCCCCACAGAGCCCCCCCCTGCCCCCCAGGACCCCACGGCTGAGGAGGAGGAGGAGGAGGAGGAGGAGCCGGGAGCGTCGGATGCAGAGACGCCATCGCCAGGCCCGGGATCGCCGGGAGAGGGGTGTGGGGACACCGGAGGGACACAGGGGCTGTGGGGTGCAGGGGGCTGTGCCTGGGCCTTATGGGAAGGTGGGACCTCAGGGCACAAGCAGCATGGGGAGAGTGAGGTCTGGTGTGGGCTGGGAGCCAGGGTCTGGGGGCAGGGACCCAGGTATGGGGTTTCCAAGGTCACAGGGGACAGGGGTCCAGGTGTGGGGAGTTCAGAGTCCTGGGAGGCAGGGATCTAGGTGTAGGGCAAGGGACCAGAGTATGGGAGGCAGGGGTTGTGGGGTGGGGGGACCCCAGGGTTCAGGAAGCAGTGATTGGGTGGGGAGGGTCCCAGGGTCTTGGGGGCTGGGGGTGGGAGGGGCTCCCAGGGTTTAGGTGGCAGGAGTTGGGTGTCCCAGAGTCTCTGGGTGAAGCTTCTGACCACCTCCCCTCGCAGCATGGCCCTGGGCGAGGAGGACGCGCTGAACTCCAAGGTAGGGCTGGTCCCTGATCCCTCAACCCACAGGGCCCCTTCCCCACCCCTGTGGGGTCTGGTCCACTGTTGTGGGGCTGAGGGACCCTCCTCAGGGCTGCCCCAGGCTGTCATGCCCATGGGAGGGGCCTCTCAGCTGTGCCACACTGTGAGTCCACCCTGCCCCAGGGCTGGAGGCTACACAGGGAGGGGGGATGGGTCTCTGTTGGGGGCTGGGGCTGCCCCATGCTGCCCCCTGCCCCTCTGTCCCCCAGCCCCACGCCCCCATGACCCCCGTTGCCCCCAGGGCCTGCCAGTGCGCTCCCTGGGCTGGGTGCAGCTGCGGGAGGAGGAGCTGGGGCCCGGCCGCAGCAGCGGCACCGTCAGCGCCTGCATCCGGCAGCTCTCGGGGCCCAGAGACGGCCCCCCCGGCACCTGGGGGGAGGTGAGTGACCCCAGCCCTCCCTGGCCCCCTTCCCTGCCGCCCGGTGCCCAGGGTGGCTGAGTGAGCCCCTGACCCTGTGCCCCAGGCGCGGGCGCTGCTGCTGCTCGAGGGCCGCACGCTGAAGCTCGTGGACCCCCGGGACCGGGCGCTGCTGCACTCACAGCCCGTGGGCGGCATCCGAGTGTGGGGCGTGGGGCGGCATGGCAGCAGGTGGGGGCACGGGGACTCGGGGTACCTGTGTGTGGGACATGGGGCGGCATGGCAGCAGGTGGGGGCACAGAGGACTCGGGGGTACCTGTGTGTGGGGCGTGGGGCGGCATGGCAGCAAGTGGGGGACGCGGGGATACCTGTGTGTGGGGCATGGGGTGCCATGGGGCCACGTGGGAGTTGGAGGGGACTCTGGTGTCTGCAGGGGGGCTGATGCTGGGTGCATGTGGGCCTGGGGTACTGTGTATGTAGGGTGCAGAGATGGGGAGGGGTCTGGGCATGTGGGGGTCTATGGGGCTTGGAGGTCCCACATGCATGGAGTGGGGTCTCTGAAGTCCCACTTATGTGGGACTGGGGGAATTGCTGTGTATGTGGGACACTGGGATGAGGGAATCTGGGTGTGGAGATGGGCAGGGGTACTGGGGAGTTCCATATGGGTGAGGTGCAGAGGTCCCATGTGCACATGGCTGGGGAGTCCCACGTGTGGGTGGGGTCCCATGTGTCTAGCAGATGGGTGCCCCAGGGTCTCAGCACTGAAACCCCCAGCAGGGAAGGGTGTGGAGCAGGGTCAGACCCAGTCCTGGGGGGATTGTGGGGGTCCTGGGGCTGTGGGGGGGATCCATGCCTCCCCTGCCCCATCTAACCCCTCTCTGTCCCACTGCGCTGCCGGGGATGCAGGGAGAGGTACGACCCCAGCCTGCCCCCAGCCCCCCAGTGCCCCCAGGCCCGGCCCACGCTGGGTGGGGAGGGGGCCGGGGGAGTCCTGAGCACCCCCCCATCTCTCCAGGGACTTTGCGTACGTGGCCCGGGACCCCCTGACACAGGTGCTGAAGTGCCACGTGTTCCGCTGCGAGGGGCCAGCCAGCACCATTGCCACCGGGCTGCACCGGGTCTGCGCCCAGGTGAGAGCCCTGGGACCCCCCAACCCCCCCAGGACCTCCCTGCCTGGCTGCACCAGGTGAGACACCCCCTCATTTCCCCCTGGGACCTCTTCTGGCCTGCGCCATGTCTATGTCCAGGTGACACCCCCAAACCCTCCTTCCCCAGCGTGCACCAGGTCTGTGTGTAGGTGAGACCTCCGGGGTTCCCCAGGCTCCCCCAGCCAGCCCCCAGGGTGAGCCCCTCCCCCCACCAGGGTCCCCACAGAACAACCAGACGGTCCCTGGGGGTCCCCATGGTGTGACATCCGGAGAGGCCATGGTGTGATGTCTGGGGGGCCGTGGGTCACCACGGGGGTCCCAGGGTGCCTGTGGTGTGACACTGGGGGGTTTGTGCCCCCTGTCCCTCAGCTGACGGAGGAGCGACGAAGCGCCCGAGCAGCAGCCAACGGGCTGGGCACGGACCACCCCCGGCTGGGGGAGCCCCCGCTGCAGGGTAGGAGCACGGGGCTGGGGGACCCCCCTGCCGGGTATGGGAGGGAGCAGGGGAGATCTGGGGGATACCCCAGAGGGGACTGGGGATCTGGCAGGGGGGTGGGGGGAAAGGGTTGGAGGAGGGCTTGTGGGGAGGCACTGGGGGGTCCAGGGCAGGGGTCTCATGTGTCCAGAGGCTGCATGGGGCGGGGGCAGCTGGGTAGAGGGTGGGTGTTGAGGAGTTCAGGGAGGCTTTGAGAGCTCCTGATGGTGCCCTGCCAGTGGAGTTCCTAATCCCCAGGAGCGAGGCAGTGCATCTGGGGGGTGTTGGGTGAGCACTAAGGGGTGGGAGGCTCTGGGGTGTTTTGGGGGGTTCTGTACAGGTCTGACATGCCCCCCACAGTGGAGTTCCCGGCCCCCAAGAGTGAGGCGGTTCAGCGCTTCCCCGTGTGTTACCTGGGCTGTGTCCCTGTTGCCAAGCCCGTGGGTGAGTGGGGGGCTCGAGGGAGTTCCCTCAGCCTCTGGGGTTGCTGTGGGGTGAGGGCACCTCCAGGGCTGCCCTGACGGCTCTGTGCCCCCCAGGCATGGATGTGATCAACGCGGCGCTGGAGGCGGCACTGGCCCCTGGCTCGGGGGAGCCCCCTGCACCCACCCCTGTTGTGGTCAGTGTGGCCCCTGCCACCCTCACCATCGCCCACCGCCAGGTGTGTGCCCACGTGAGACCGCCACCAGTGACCTCTCCCCACTCCGAGGGGCTGCAGTGACCCCCTTCCTGCCCTGGAGGGCTGTAGTGACCCCCTCCCACTCTGAGGACCACGGTGACCCTCACCCCACTGTGATAACCCCATCCAAGTCTGGGAAGCTGCAGTGACCCCTACCCACACTGGTGACCCCCACCCACACTGGTAATGCTCTCCTGCTCTGGGGGCCTCAGTGACCCCACTCCATGCCGGGGAGCTGCAGGGATCCCTCCCTGTACCAGGGGGCCACAGTGCATCTCCCCCCACCACACCCCAGGTGACCCTGGGGATCCCCTCCCAGCCAGGGGGCTGCGCTGACCCCTCTGCTTGTCCCCCAGACGGAGGCAGTGCTGTGTGAGTGCCGTGTGCGGTTCCTGTCCTTCATGGGGGTGGGACGTGACGTCCGCGCCTTCGCCTTCATCATGGCCAGCGCTCCCGGCACCTTCCGCTGCCACATGGTGTGGTGTGAGCCCAACGCCGCGGGGCTCAGCGAGGCGCTGCAGGCTGCCTGCGTGGTGAGTGGGACCCTGAGCCCCCAGTTCCCTATGCCCCTGCTGAAGGCCGCCTGCAGGGTGAGTGGGGCCCCCGAGTCCCCCTTCCCTGTGCTGACCCCCCTTCCCCGCAGCTCCGCTACCAGAAGTGCCTGGATGCGCGGCCCCAGGCCTCCAGCTCCTGCCTGCCCGCCCCCCCGGCCGACTCGGTGGCGCGGCGGGTGGGCTCCTCCGTGCGCCGGGGGGTGCAGACCCTCCTGGGGACCCTCAAACCGCGGCGGGGAGGGGCACAGACCCCGTGAAGGGGGCGAGGGCACGAGGGGTGTGAGGCGGGGGGGGGCAGGATGGCCAACCCAACGCACCAGGGCACAGAGTTCCCCGCGGTGTTGGGTCGGGGGTCCTACCCCGCCCCTGCTGCCCCCACAGTGGGTTACAAACCCCCCACAGTCCCCAATGCATGCGGCGTAACGAGGGTCTGTGTTGTACTAAATCATTAATTAATAAACCCATTCCACCAGCCCGGCTTGGCTCTGCCTTCAGCCTCATGCAGGGAGGAGGAGGAAGAGAAGGGATGAGGGTTCTGTTATTCCTGGTTTGGTTCTCCCTAGGGTGTTGTTGGGTGAGGACTGGGATGAGGAAGATGAAGGGCAATGGGGTCCATCACACCTGTATTGGCTGGGTGATGGGAACAAGAGGACTGTGTGCTGATCCTGATTCCAATCCCAATTCTGATGGATGAGGATGAGGAGGGGTGATGGGGTCCATTGTGCCTTTATTGTCCATCTGGTGAGATGTGAGGACCACGTGCCAGTCCCGAACCTCAGTCCTGGCACGGCTATGTGCCAACCCCACTCCCGGCCCCACTCCCAGTGCAACCATGTGCTGACTCCAACCCCACTCCTAGTGTAAGCGTGTCCCAGTCCCGCTCCCAGGGTTACCACGTCAGCAGAGCTGCCGCTGTCGCCAGAGCTCCTGGACGCGTGGGAAGGGCAGAGCTGGGCGCAGGGGCCGGCAGAGCGCGGGGTCGGCGGCACGGCCGGAGCGCAGGGCGCAGAGCAGGGCAGCCTTGCAGGGGCCCCCGCAGGGCTCGCGGGGGGGGTGCCCCTTGTGCAGATGGAACCAGAAGCGCTGGAAGAGTCGCTCGTCGTCCTGCAGCCGCCGCACCAGCAGGTCCCAGTCGGCCGGGAAGGCCGTGGGCAGCCCGTAGGCCTCGCGCGCGCTGTAGAGCCGCTGCCAGCGCGGGGCGTCCCCGGGGGGGCCGCGTTGGCCTCCGTCAGGTTCAGGATGAAGGTCTCGTGGTCCAGCACCGCGTGGGAGCTCCCGGGGTAGGAAGCGGCCACCTCGTACACACGGTACCCTGCGGGGGAGGGACCGTCAGCGCCAGGGCTGGGGGTGGGGGGACCCACAGCAGGATTGGGGCGCACCGGGATTGAGGTTGATGTAGGTGGTGACGCTCGGTGCCACGAAGGCGATGGAGACGGGGCGTGACAGTGTCTCCTCATCGTAGAACAGCTCGAACTCGTCCAGGTGCGTGTGCCCGAAGAACTGTGCCGCGATGGTGCCCTCGAACCTGCCATAGTGGCAAGAGGTGGGGCAGCATCCAGACCCACAGCCCCCTGCCCTGGGCCCCCAACCCGAGCCAGGCCTGGCTGCTCACAGAGCCCCTGTCATGGCTCTGGCTGGCACAGGCAGATTCAGGGTCCCAACCTTGGGTGCTCCAGCACCACCCCCCACCCAACTCCCATGCTGATGCCACCCCTAGGGCGTCCAGTGTGTGGAATGGGGGTCCAGGATACATGAGGTGGGGCTCTGGCATGTGGGGAAGGGCCTTTGGTCCTTTGCTACATGGAATGGGGGTCTAGGGCAAGTGGGGAGGGGTCTGGCTCATGGAGGGGAGGTCCAGGGCATGGGGTGAGGGTCTGGTGTAGGCATCCAGGATGTGAGGCAGGAGTCTGGTGTGCAGGGCAGGGGTTCAGCACATGGGGCTGGAGTCCAGGGTGCAGTGTGGGGTCTGGCATGTGGAGCGGGGCACAGGGGCAGGGGTCTGGCACAGTGTGGGGGTCAGGGCCAGGGGTCCAAGCTGGGAGTGTGTGGCACAGAGAGGGGTCTGGCACTCAGTGGGGGGTCTGGGCAAAGGGTATGTGTGGGCACTGACCTGCTGACGATGCGATAGTAGTTCCAACTCCAGCTGCGCAGGCAGTGGGCTGGGGGGATGTGCCCGATGATATGCACCTGGGGGCAGGGAGCTAGGGCTTGGGGGTGCCCAGGACCCCCAAGCCCCCCAGTCTTCCCCCAGAATTCCCCCCTCACCTTCTCCCCATCACGCTCAGCATCTGCCAGAACCCCCATGAGCCACTGGAGCTGCCCCGCGGGGTCGGTGGCGTTGATGAGGAGCCAGAAGTTGGCCTGGGAGCAGAAGTTCATGTTGAGGGAGACGAGGCGCAGCCCAGGCCAGACCTGTGCCGTGTAGAACCCACCAGCCCTGCAGGGAAACAGGGGTCAGTCCTGTGCCCCTGCCCCACAGACCCCACAACTATCTCACAGACCCTCCCTCACCCATGGACCCCCTACCCCAACCTGCATAGAACCTACCAGCCCTGTGGGAAAAGAGGGAGTTAGTGCTGTGCCCCCCAACCCATGGACCTCGACACCCACCCCCTCTGCCCACAGCCCCCTGCCCCCCTCAGTTGGAGCCCCCTTTGTCCTTGTCCTGCCAGCAGCTCCCTGCACCCCAACCAGCCATGACCCTCTGCTTGCACCTCCTCTATTGAGAGAGACACCCCTCCAATCTGGCACCATGAACCTGAGAAAACCACAGCCCTCCAAGACCCCAAGTCCCTGCTAACCTGAAGCCCCCACTGCCCCTAGCCCTGAGCCCCTGTAGCCCAGAGCCCCCCACAAGCCCCAAGCCCCCTGCTAGCCCAGGCCCCTCCATCGCTCCCTCCATTGCAGAACCCCCCCCAGCCCTATTACCCCAAACCCCTCTCCCTGATAGCCCAGAGCCCCCATCCCTGCACCCCCAGCCCTGCGCCCCCTGCTCCCCAGTACCCCAACCCCCTGCCCGCCGTGCCCACCGCAGGGTGTGCAGGGCAGCGGGAGGCAGCCAGCCCTGCCAGGCCTCGGCCATGGCGTCGTAGAGCCAGGCGGCTGACTGGTTCCCGCGCACGTAGGGCGGGGGGAAGGCGTTCACCGGGGTGGCCTCGTGGTTGCCCACGGCTGGGAAGACGCGCAGCCCCCCGAGGCGGGCGCGCAGCAGGGCCGTCACCGTACGCAGCGCCCGCAGCTGGTCCCCGCGGCTCTGCTGCCACACATCGTGCGCGGGGATGTCCCCGGTCCAGTACGCGGCCGCGAACCCCGAGGTGCCGTTACTGGTGCCGCCGTCGCCGGTGTGGCTGCTGGCGTTGGGGAGCTGTGCCAGCAGCGCGTCGATGGTGTGCAGGGGCAGGTCGCACTTGCCGTAGGTGCCCCAGAACCCCGCGGCCCCCGGTCCATCGCGGGGGGCCCCGCGGCAGCACAGCGGGTCGGGGCAGGCGGCAGCGCTGCCCGGCGTGTACCGGCGGTCCCAGTGCAGGTCGGTGAGGAACAGGATGTGGGCGGTGGGCGCACCGGGCGGTGGCGGCTTCGGGGGCCGCACCGGCGGCTTCGGGGTGGCAGGCAGGGACAGGTTCCAGGAACCCAGGATGTCCCAGTGGCCGCAGCGGGGGCCCAGCAGCAGCCCGCAGGCCTCGGGCGGGCGCAGCACCGAGCGCGCCCAGGCCGCCACCACGTCACGCTGGAACAGCTGCACGGCCTGCTGGCACACGGGTGGCCGCGCCAGCCGCAGGTCCTGGCACAGCCGCGACGCCACGCGCCCCACACGCGCCACATTCGGCTCCAGCTGCAGGGGGACAACGGGATGGACACGGCTCCCCAAAACATGGGTGTCCCTGCTGCCCATGCCCAACAGCCTCCCAGGACAGACCATGCACCCCAAACCCCAGCTGCCATCGCTGCTCCATGCCTGCCAGCCCTGCACCAGCATAGACGTGGCTCCCTGTTCCATGGCCAGACTCGCTGCCCCGCACCCACCAGTTCCCCGGGATGGCCATAGCACCCCAAATCCCTCACTGTCCTCACTGCCCCATACCCACCGGCCACAACCCTAACACACTGCCTCCCATCTGTCCTCACTGCCCTGCACCCACCAGTTCTCCGGGACGGACCCCACACCCTGATCCCTGGCTGCTGTCACTGTCCCACACCCACTGGCCACCCCCAGCCCTCAGCTGGGTGTCCCGAGGTAAGAGGGGACCCACACGGCCCCCCATCCTCTCTGTCCCCTCTGTCTGCCAGCCCGGTTCCCTCCCGGGGAAGGACACGGGTTCCCCGTACCCCACCAACCCCAGCCTATCCCTGTCTCTGTCTGCCCCCATTACCTCCCATCCCTGTCCGTGAATGATGCTGCCGGCCCGTCCTAGATTGTCTCAGTCCCTGTTCCCGTCCCTATCCCAGCCCATCACTGTCCCAGCCAGTCACTGTCCTGTCCGTCCCCGTTCCCCCAGGCAGAGCCCCTGGCCTGGCCCCGCCCGTCCCTGTCCCCGTTCCTGTCCCAGCCTGTCACTCTCCTGGTCTCCGCCCGTCCCTGTCCCTGTCCCCGTTTCTGTCCCGATCTCGTGCCCGTCACAAGCCCCGACCTGCCCCGGCCTGCCCCGGCCCAACCCCGTCACAAGGTACCGGCCCGGCCTGTCCTGTCCCTGTAACTGATCCTGTCCCTGTCCTGTCCCATTCCCTGTCCCCGCTCCTGTCCCGTCCCTGCCGCCTTGCTCCGCCCGTCCTGGTGTCCTGATGTCCCGATGTCCTCCCATCCCCGTGCCCCGCCCGGTGTCCCTCGGGTGCCTCCCGTGTCCCGGTGCCTCCAGGTCCCCCCGTGCCCACCTGCAGCGCCAGGTCCAGCGCCCCGAACAGCACCCGGCAGGCCGGGCACGACACGTTCCTCCAGCCCCAGCGCGGCGCCGCCGCCACCAGCTGCTCCCCGGGATCGGAGAGCGGCCCCGCCTGCGCCGGCCCCGGCAGCGCCAGCAGCGCCAGCGCGGCCAGGGCCAGCGGCAGCGACCGCGACAGGGACCGCGACAGGAACCGCGACATCGAGCCCGTCGGGGCCCGCAGCCCGGCAGCCATGGCCGAGCCACAGGGGGCGGGGCCGGAACGGGGCGGGGCCGGAACGGGGCGGGGCCAGCCCCGCCATTCACAGGCGAGAGAGGCGGCACAGGGAGCGAAAGGGGCGTGGCCTGCGCCAGAGGCGGGGCGGCCGAGAGCGAAGGGGGCGTGGCCGTGGCCAACAGCCAATGGGCGGCGGAGTCACGGGGAGAGGGCGCGGCCACCTGGGGACAAACACGGGGGCGGGGCCTGTGCTGAGCGCGGGGCGTCACGGGACATGGAGTCCGGGGCACCTCGGCGAGCCGGGGCTGGGAAGGGGACACCGGGACCGTGGGGTCACCCCCGGAGGACGGTGGGGCCACACGGCACCCGGGGCTCCCAGCCCCTCGAGGCTGGTCGTGCCGTCGCCAGGTTCGGGGGTCCCCGCAGCGGAGGGTCCCAGCCCGCCGCCCTCCGAGCCCTGCGCGGTGCCAACCCGCCGTCCCGCGCCCGGGGCTGCCCCGCGGAGCCTCCGCGGTGGCCGGACGGGAGTGGTGGGAGCAGCGACGCTGAAGGGCACAGCTGTCGCGGGTGGGCACCAGTGGCACAGGTGGCACAGGACAAGTTTATTGTGACTGGAGCTGGAGAGCGGCGCAGGGGGACCCCGGGCTGGGGGCGCCTCAACTTCCCCCCTACCCATCCTGCCCAGCCCCGAGGGTGCCCCTGCCCCGCCCTTCGCCCCTACCCAGATGGGGACTGGGGTACTGGGGCTGAGTGGGGCTGGTGGGTGAGGGGGTCCCGGGAGGGCGGGGGTCTGGGAGTGCCCTGAGCTGGGAGGCACGGGGAGGGGGGGGCACAGGAGGTGCTGGCAGCGCTCGGGGATTGCGAGGTGGGGGTCTGGCTCGAGGGAGTCCGGCTGGGGGAGGTCCAGCTCAGGGCGGCTGGGCTCAGGGAGGCCCCAGGCAGTGGTGTGAGGGGGCTGGCAGGTCCCAGCTCACGGGGACCCAGGCTGCTGATGGTGGTGTAGCTGAACTTGGAGAGTGAGGCTCTGGCCACGGGGGGCTCACGGAGGAGCGGGCTCATGGGGTAGGGGCTCAAGGGGGCCCCAGGCACTGGTGTTGAGGGGGCTCAAGGGGGTCCAGCTCAGGGTTCTGGCTCAGGGGGGGCCCAGGCTGCTGACGGTGGTGTAGCTGAACTTGGAGAGCGAGGCACTGGCCATGGGGGGCTCGTCGTCGGGGGGGCGGCGGGGGCAGGCCCGGCGGCACCCCCAGCCCGCACAGGTGGCCCCGAAGGCCTTGCGGAAGCGGCGGTTCATGAAGCAGTAGATGAGGGGGTTGGCGCAGGCCGAGGTGTAGGACAGCAGGTGGATGAAGGCGATGGGGGTCCCCGAGAGCGCCCTCTGGGCCGCCCGCGGGGCAAAGGCGCGCCAGGTGTTGGCGGCGAAGATGGGCAGCCAGCAGAGGAAGAACATGGCCACGATGACCACCAGCATGCGGATCACGCGCCGCTTGGCCGCCAGCTGGGCCCCTGAGCTGTTGACGCGTGCCCGGTCCTGCTGCGCATCCGCCCCCAGCGCCCGCAGCTCCAGTGCCGCGCCCGGGCGCGACAGCTGCAGGTAGCACCCGTCCCCCTCATCACAGCTGGGCGCTGTGTCCCCCCCGGCACCACGCTGGGCTGTGGGGCGAGGGAGCGTGGTCAGGGCCATGGCACTGGGGGGACAGGCTGCACCCCAGCACCACGGGAGCATCCTGTGGGCGGTGGGATGGGGCGTTAGGGGAACAGGGCTATGGTCACACTACCATGGGGACCCGAGGCACCCCAACACCATGGCAGCATCCTCTCGGGGGTGGGACAAAGTGCAGGGGACACAGACACGTCCGTGGCACCCTGGGGACACGCTGCACCCCAAGGCTGTGGGAACATCCTACAAGGAGGTCCCCGGGAAAGGGGATGTCCCCGGGGAATCCCCTGCTGTGGAGAGCTGGGGTGGGGGTTCTACCCTCCCTCTCATTCTGGGGCAGGATCACCCCCAGTGTCACCCCCATCCTTTCCCCTCACCTGCCGCCTCCCCCTTGACGTGCAGCTCAAAGCGGATGCCACGGTAGAGCTCGCGGGAGATGAGCCCGTACGCCACCGTCATCACCACACCCGGGATGAAGAAGAGGACCAGGAGCAGCAGGACGTACCTGGGACATAAGGCCCGTCACTCACTGTCCCCTCTCCCCCCGTGCCCCTGCACCCCCTGCGACTCACCAGGCCTGCCGGATGTGCTCGCTGGGCCAGAGGTGCGTGCACTGCACGGGGGGCGGGCGGGGGGCGTGAGGGGCGGCGGGGCGCGTGGTGCTGTACACGGCGTAGGGCAGCATCAGCAGCGCCGCCAGTGCCCAGGTGCCAGCGATGACGCGGCAGGCGTGGGACCGTGTCTGCCAGGCACGCGACTGCAGCGGGTTGCAGATGGCACTGTAGCGCTCGAGGGCGATGGCCACCAGGCTGAAGGTGGACACGGCCACTGACACTCCTGTGGGCGGTGGGGTCAGTGGGTGCGGCATGATCCCACAGCCCCCTGTGACCCCCTGCAGCCGACGGTGCACCCCATGTACCCATGAGGTAGGTGATGAGCCGCCCTACCCTGTGTCCTGCCGTACCCATGAGGCAGGACAATCCCCCGCCTCCCGTACCCATGAGGCAGGACAATCCCCCCCTCCCCGTACCCATGAGGCAGGACAATCCCCAATCCCTCCCCCTCCCGTACCCATGAGGCAGGACAATCCCCAATCCCCCCACCCCCTTCCCGTACCCATGAGGTAGGCGACGAGCTTGCAGACGGTGTCGCCGAAGACGAAGGCGCCCATGAGGCCGGGCAGCAGGGTGAAGGGCATGCAGCACAGTGCCAGGAGCAGGTCGCTCAGCGCCAGGGACAGCAGGAAGCAGTTGGTGACGGTGCGCATTCGCCGGTTCAGAGCCAGCACGGCCACAACCAGCGTGTTGCCCCCGACGCTCAGCACAAAGATCAGCGTGTACAGCACCACGCGCACCGCCACGTCCAGCTCTGCAGGCAGCCGCGTTGGGGACCCCAGGGCACCCCGAAGGCACCCTAAGCGTACCCCGATGGCACCCCAGAGGCACTCCGAAGGCACCCCAGCACAGGTCCAGGCACTGGGGCTCCGGCTGACTCCACGGGGCTCAGTGCAGAGCCGACACCAGCCATCCCAGTGGCACCCCAAAGACACCCGCAGGGCACCCCGGAGGCACCCTGTCACAGGTACGGGCTCTGGAGTACCGGGGCTCCAGCGCGACCGGCTGCCTCGGTGGGGATCCGGCAGCTGAGCATCCCGGTTCTCCCCGTGTGGCTGCCGCCGTGGGACCAGAGTGCTCCCCCTGATCCCCGGATCTGGTCCGTGAGGCTGGGGGGCCCCGAGCTTCACGAGTGCCCCCATCCTGCCCACCCTCCCCCGGAGCTGGGCTCTCGGTTCGTCGGCAGCGTTGGGACGTGACCGGGGACGTCCAGTCCCGGTAGCCGAGTGACAGCGGGGGTTGGCGGAGCCCGGCCGGGCGAGGGGGGACATTGGGAGCCCCAGCCCTGGCGGTGGCGTGGGGGGTTCCAGTCAGGCAATGGGACTGGAGGGTCCCAGCCCCGTTGGTGGGTTGGGATTGAGGGTCCCGGCTGGCCAGAGGGGAGGGGTTGGGGGTCAATGCCTCGTCGGGGGGCGCGGGCGGTGGTTGTGCCACCCCTGTCGAGGTCCCCTCCGCCCTCCTGCTGCCCCGGCACAGCCCGGTGTGTCCCCTCCGGGACCCCCAGCGGGACCAGGGGCCAGTGCCGGGGCCGCCGAGCCTCCGGCCGGGGCGCGGGGACCGGCATGCAGGATGTGATGGGGGACACGGCGGGGGACGGGTGCGGCACCGGCACGGACCGGGGGCACCGGGGTGCAGGGCGAGGAACACCGTGGCGGCACGGCGGGACGATGCGGGGTGCCCGGAGGCGCAGGGTAGGGCACAGGGTGTCCCTTCTGCTTCCCCCCCCATCTCACCTCTGGGCGCAGGGGGCCCGCGGAGGCCCCTGCGGAGGAGGTCGCAGGCAGAGCTGTTGGTCCCGGTGCCGTTCCCGGTGCCGTTCCCGGTGCCGTTCCCGGCGCGGCAGAGCAGCTCCTGCAGCGACTCGTTGAGGGACTGGGGATCCATGGCGAGGGCCCCCGCCCCGCCCCCACCTCCGGCAGGAGGCACCGGGAGGATCAGGCACCGGCAGGCTCCGGGAGGGACGAGGCTTCGCTCCGCTCCTCTCGGAGCCGCCGGTGGATGAGCGGGGGCGGTGCCCGGCACGGGGCGGGCCGGGGCCGGGGGCGGGGGCGGTGGCGGCGCGGGGAGCCCGGGGGTGCGAGGGAGCGCGGGGAGTCGGGAACGGGGGGAACCCGGGGGACGGCAGGGGGCGCGGAGGGTCCGGGAAGCGGGGCTCGGGGGGTACCGGGCTGCAGGCGGAGCCCTGGGCGGGTCGGGGGGTTCGCACAGGGCTCGCCGGGAGCGCTCCTGCGGCGCCGGCGGCCGTCAGCGCTGTGCCTGTCACTGTGGGGCTGTCACCGTGTCCCAGCGACTGACCCCGGGACGGCCCGGCGAGCTGGGGGTCCCGAGCTGTTTCCGGCTCCGGTACCGGCTCGTTCCCAGCCCGGACCTCGCTGCTCCCCCACTTCGACCCGTTCCCATGCCGGCCCCTTCCCCGTCCCAGTCCCGGTCCCCGTTCCGTAGCAGCAGCTGTTGGTGTCACCCGGCAATGGTTGTCGCTGCTGTGTCCCCCCCAGGTGACGTCTCAGTGCCGCGGGACTGGTCCCCCCGCATCCCGACCCCTCCCGGGACCCCGAGCTCCGGTGGAACCCCGAGCCCCGGGCAGTTCCTGCACCCGTCTGGGACTCCGTGACCAAGTAGGACCCTGTGCCATGGGGGTACCCTTCATTCTCTGGGGACCCCGTCCTCCAGGGTGTCCATGTGCTATGGAAGGACCCTCTGCTTTGGGGGGAACCTGTGCCCCAATGGAACCCTGTGTCCTGGGAGGACCCTGTGCCCTGAGGGGACCCTGCACTGTGAGGGTACCCTGTGCCCTTGGGGGACCTTGTGCGCCACTGCGACTCTCTGCTATTAGGGGACCTTCTGCCATTAGGGGACCCTGTGCCCTGGGCAGACCTTGATCCCTGAGAGGACTCTGGGCCTTGGAGGGACCCTGCACCCCGGTGGGACCCCATCCTCCAGCAGGACTTGGTCCCTGACCAGGACCCTGTACCTTGGGGGCACCCTGCATCTTGGAGGGATCCCAGTCCCCAACAGGACCACGGGCCCTGAGGGGACACTGCACCTCAGTTGGACCCTGTGCCCTGGGAGGACTCTGTCCTCCAACAGGACCCTGTGTCCTGGTTGGCTGCTGTGGTGTGGCCGTTCCTGCTGCCCCAGCCGTCCCCGCTGCCTTGTCCCGCAGCTGCCTCAGGTGCAGCCGCCCCTCGAGGCGCTGAATGCGCAGGGCCATGCGCAGGGCGCTGGCCTCCAGCTGTGCCAGCAGCCGGGCCGCCTGTGTCTGCAGCCCCTCCAGGGCCACCTCCAGCCCCTGCAGCTGCCGCTCAGCCTCGGCCTCGGCTGCCACCGCCGCTGCCTCGGCACCCGTGTCCAGCCGGCCCATGCCCAGCAGCAGCTCCCGGCCCTTGGCTTCCATGGCAGCGTGGGCACGGGGGAACTCGGCCAGCACCTCGACCAGGTCCTCCTTGCCCAGGCAGAACAGGTCGGAGTAGCCGATGCTCAGGATGTTGGCCGTGCGCCTGTTCCCCGCCGTGTTCCCTGTGGGGTGGGGGGCCGTGAGCCAGGGGGGCCGCAGGGTGGTGTTGGGGTGCGGCACGGGGCTCACCCTTGATGTTGATGAGGCTGATTTCCCCGAAGTAGAGCCCCTCGCCCAGCACAGCCAGCTGTGTGATGCCGTCCTCGGCCACCACGGCCAACCGGCCCTCGCGGACGAAGTACATCTCGCGGCCCACGTCACCGCGCCGGCACACGAACTCGCCGGGGCCGAAGACCTGCGGACGCAGGCGCAGCACCAGCTGGCGCAGCACCTCGTGCCCCCAGCCGCGGAACAGCCCCACGCGCCGCAGGGCCGGCAGGTGCACGCTGGCTGCCACCTCGGCCCGCAGCCCCCGCGGCAGGTGCTGCAGCACCGCCTGCTCCGCTGGCAGCTTGCGCTGCATGCGCAGGTGTTGGTGCCAGCGTGCCACGCGCCCCACCAGCCTCCCGCCCGCGCCATGCACCCGCAGGTACCGCCGCACCGGCCCCGCGTCGGGGTAGAAGGCAGCGTCGGCTGCGCTGAGGTTGGCGATGACGGCGCTGATGCTGCCGGTGATGGTGGCGAAGCCCAGCACGGCCAGCAGGAAGCCGGCCATGGTGAAGAGGAACTCCTCCTCGTGCTGTGGCTCCGGTGTGTCACCCACCATGGCCAGGACCAGCGTGGAGAAGTAGAAGCTGTGCAGGTATTGGCGCAGCGGGCGCGCAAAGGCGGGGCACACCCAGGGGTCGGTGCCCAGCCCCAGCCGCACCGACAGCGCAAAGTAGAGGCAGCCGTGCCAGTGGATCCCCAGCACAAGGTACAGCATCAGCTTGGCCACGCGGAAGGCGTTGGGCCGCCCCGTGTGTGTCTCGCACCGGTCGAAGGCCTCGAAGAGCCGTGGTGCCCGCAGGCAGCGGTTGGCACGTGCCACCGGCACCCCCAGGACCCCTGGGACCCCCGGGAGCAAGCAGAGCAGCTCAGTGGGCAGCACAGATGCCACATCCCAGAGGAAGGCCCAGGAGCACAGGTAGCGCCGCCGCATCCGGCTGATGTCCTGCACCAGGATGCCATCCTCCAGAAAACCTGGGGGGCAACCAGGCAGGTCATGACACTGGGGGTGCCCGGGAGAGTTGAGGGGTAGGGGTTTTGCAGGGGGTCCCTCTGATGGAAGGGGATGGCAGTGGGGAGCAGGTGGATGCCTGCCATGGGGTGTGGGAAGGTCCTGGAGACCAGTACCTCTGGATGGGCACCCTGGGGGATGTCACTAGGGGTCCCCTGGGCTGCTGTGGGTTTGAGGGGTCATCAGTGGGTGCTGGGACCCCAGAGTGCCCAGCCAGATCTGCCTCGTGCAGGGCTGGGTAACAGCTGTGCCTAGTGGGAGTGCACCTGTGTGTGCATGCCTGTGTCTGTGTGTGTGTGTTACACCTGTGCATCTGCATGTGTGTGTCTGTGCGTGCACACGTGTACACACCTCTACGTGTGTCTGTGTGTAACACACCTGTGCGTCTGTGTGTGCGCGTGTGTACATGCCTGTGTGTGTCTGTAACACACCTGTGTCTGTGTGTAACACACCCATGTGTCTGTGTGTGTACACACCTGTGTGATAGTGTGTGTAACACACCTGTCTCTGTGTGTAACATACCCATGTGTCTGTGTGCACACCTGTGTGATAGTGTACATGTGTAACACACCCGTGTCTCTGTGCCTGTGTGTAACATGCCAGCGTCTCTGTCTGTGCCTGTGTGTAACACACCCGTGTCTCTGTGCCTGTGTGTAACATGCCTGTGTCTCTGTCTGTGTCTGTGTGTAACATACCTGCGTGTCAGTGTGCGTACACACCTGTGTGGAGGCGCACAGCGATGTCCAGCAGGTACAGTGCATCACTGAGCCCGTCCAGGCCCCGCCACAGCCCCGCATGTGCCTCCTGCACCTCAGGGAAGCAGCACCTGCAGTGCAGGTGGCATCACAGGGCGTCACCAAGACAAGGCCTAGGGGGCCAGGATGCCCCACACTCCCACCCTGACCCCCTGCCCAGCACCTGAGGATGAGGACGACCCAGTTGTAGAGGATGGGCAGCACCATGAGGCTGATCCACCAGTAGTGCCAGTCCCCGGCAGGGTCAAGGGTCCACCTCTGAGGAGTGGCGGTGCTGCAGGTGCACAGAAGGACCTGGTGTCACCCCATCGCCACTCAGGACCCCTGGCCCTGCTGCCCTGTGCCCACCCCCAGCTGCCAGGGGCTCTCGGGCTCAGCCACCTCCCAGCACCTGTGGGACGGAGGGGGTCCCTGCAGTGCCCCCACCCCAGCCCTGCAGTGGGCAGCCCTGCCCTGCTCACCCTGCAGCATGTCCGGTGCTGGTGCCAGCCTCAGCCCTGGCCACGAGTCTGGAGGTGCCGCACGGCCGGAGCCAGGCCCAGCGGCAGGACAGGAGGGAGCTGAGGGCCTGCATCCTGCACGACGGGGGTCCTGTGTGTTCCGGTACCCAGTGGGTCCTGTGCACCCACGTACTGGGTCCTGTGCACCACAGCACCTGGCAGGTGCTGCTGCCGGTGCCCAGCCCTGGGCGCGGTCCCTCGAGGAGTCCCGGCCATGCGGCTCCTGCAGCACCAGGCGCGTCCTGGCAACGGGGAGTCCCTGGGGCACCCACGGTCCCCCTGGGATGCCCGGGCTGTGGCAGCCACGGTTCCAGGTGCACTGGGCAGGCCAGGGCATGGAGCCATGGCCAGGTGTGCTGGGGCCCAGGCCAGGCCCCAGTGACAGGGGCCGGTGCCAGGCAGTGCCCTCTGCAGAGTTGGTGGCAGCTCCCGGTAACTGGTGCATGTGCCAGAGCTGTGCCTAGTACGGGGTTACCTTGCACGGGGTGCCCAGTACAAGGTTATCTGATAGATGGGTGCCCAGTTCTAGGGGTCCTGGTACAGGAGTGCCTGGTTCTGGATTGTCCAGTTCCAAGGGGTCCCCATACCTGGTTATCCAGTTCCCGGTGCCTGGCTCAGGGGAGTGCCCGATTCTGGGGTGCCCAGTTCTGGGGATGCAGTGTGCTGGGGTTACTCGCTGCAGGGGCTCCTGGTACACGGTACAGGGGTGCCCAGTTACAGAGGGTTCCCAGTACAGAGGTATTGGGTTCGCAGCTCAGGGGGTGCCAGGTTTCTGGGGGTACGTTGTAACAGGGGGTGCCTGTACTGGGTTACTTGGTTGCAAGGGGCCTGGTACTGGGGTACCCAGTTCCCGATGCCCGCCTCAGGGGGGTGCCCAGTTTCTTGGGATGCCTCATTCCAGAGGGTGCTGGTGCAGGGTCACTCGGTGCCAGGGGTGCCCGTACGGGGTCACTCGGTTCCAGGGGTGCCCATAAAGAGTCACGCGGTTCCGGGGATGCCCATACGGGGTCACGCGGTTCCAGAGGAGCCCATACAGGCTCACTCGGTCCCGGGGGTGCCCATAGGGGGTCACTCGGTTCCGGAGGTGCCCATAGAGGGTCACTCGGTCCCGGGGGTGCCCATATGGGGTCACTCGGTTCCAGGGGTGCCCATACGGGATCACTCGGTTCCGGGGGTGCCCATACAGGGTCACTCGGTCCCGGGGGTGCCCATACGGGGTCACTCGGTTCCGGGGGTGCCCATAGGGGGTCACTCGGTTCCGGAGGTGCCCATACAGGGTCACTCGGTCCCGGGGGTGCCCATACGGGGTCACTCGGTCCCGGGGGTGCCCATAGGGGTCACTCGGTTCCGGAGGTGCCCATACAGGGTCACTCGGTCCCGGGGGTGCCCATAGGGGTCACTCGGTCCCGGGGGTGCCCATAGGGGGTCACTCGGTCCCGGGGGTGCCCATAGGGGTCACTCGGTTCCGGGGATGCCCATACAGGGTCACTCGGTCCCGGGGGTGCCCATAGGGGGTCACTCGGTTCCGGGGGTGCCCATAGGGGTCACTCGGTTCCGGGGGTGCCCATAGGGGGTCACTCGGTCCCGGGGGTGCCCATACGGGGTCACTCGGTCCCGGGGGTGCCCATAGGGGGTCACTCGGTCCCGGGGATGCCCATAAAGGGTCACTCGGTTCCGGGGGTGCCCGCTCAGGGGTTCCCCTTCCTCAGTTCCCACGCTCCCCGAGCCCCGCCCCCTAGAGGCGCAGCCAATGAGCGCTCGGTTCTCCCGGCCCGTCCCCGCCCCCTACACCGGGCCGCGCCCCCAAGGTGTGGTGGGCGGGGCCGTGCCGGGGGGCGGGGCCAGCGCGGTGCGTCGGGCGCGGCGCGAAGATGGCGGCGGGCGCGGGGGCCCGCGGCGGGGGTGGGCGGTGAGCGGCGGCACGGGACGGGACGGGACGGGACGGACCGGGGGCTCGGCGCGGCCGGGACAGCGCCAGCGGGACACCCCTCCTGGGGCACGGCGGCAGCGCGGGCACCGTGGCCGGGGCGGGCACCGCGGCCGGGCCGACCGAGCTTCCGCCGCGGTCCCGGGGCGCCCGGGCCGCCGCCCGCCCTTGGCCGTGTGGGACCGGGTTGGGTGGGTCGGGCCGGGCCGTGTCCGGGGCGTGGGAGCCGCGGCGGGACCGGGCCTGGGTGTGTCGCGGTGCCGTGGGGCAGGGGCCCGGTGCCGGGGGGGCCCGGAGCGGCGGGGGCTCCGGGGGGTCCCGGCTCCGCGTCCGACGCCTCCTCTGCCCTCTCCAGATGCGGCGCTGACGGGACGGGACCGCCGCGACCTTGACCCAGGTAGGCGGCCCGGCCTCGGGACATGGGGAGGTCCCGGTCCTGCGTAACCCCGGGGTCTGGGGGACTCCCGGTCCCGCTATCACCGTGGCCCTGGGACTGGGGGTGCCGGGGTGGGCAGCACCTCCCGCAGACTGGGGGACAGCAGCCCCGGAGTGGGACAGCTCTTCACCGGGACCACTGACATCCCGCGGTGAAACCCCTGGTGACCCCCACACCGTGCTCCCCCTCCCGGGGTGCATCGGAGGGGCCGGTGCCCACCACCATACCCCCCAGCACTGGCTACAACCCCCTGCCCGTGGTGGCCGTGCCCCTGCTGTCCCTGCCCCAAGTGTCCCTGCTACTCCCCTGCTGCCAGACCCTTGCTGCAGCCCGGTCCATTGACACTGGAGTGTCACCGGTGTGATGAGACAGCCCCGTGCCATGTCCTGGCCGTGTCCCCTCCCTGACATGCAGTGGGAGCTGCCAGGTCAGGGTGTGGGGGCATTGGTGCCAGGACGGGGGTGGTGGAAGCAGCCCATGGGCATGGCTCGCTGTGTGCCAGACGGGTCCCTGTGCCGGGATGTCCCTGGTGTGCCACGTTGTGGCCTTTGGCTCTGTGTCCGTGCAGGGGGTTGTGCAGGGCTGTGGTGCTGCGCCCCTCGCTGGCACTGCCTCGGCATTCGGCAGGTCTAACTTTAGCAGGCACACGAGCCCTGGCGTGTGGGTGGGACATGGGACAACGACTGTGCCGGTATAAATAGCCAGCCCCGCCTGTGCCGTGTCCCACTGCCCTGGCTCCGACCACTTCCCGTTCCTCCTCCTGTGGTTTGGGGTGTCTTTAGTGGTGTTTTCACTTCCCTCAGCCCCATGTAGGGGCTGTGGCATTGGCTCTCGGTGCCACTGCTCTCCCCACATGCTGCTGGGGGACTCCTGGTGTCTCAATGTCCCCAGGCTTCCCGGGGGCCACTCAGTTTCCAGTCCCATGCCAATGCCTGTGGTGGCAGTGCCAGGGCACAGGACCTTATAAATATCCCCGGCAGCACCATCATGGCGCACCAGCTGTGGGTGCTGCTGCCTGGGGGTAGGAGCTGTCCCAGCTGTCCCGATGGGTGCTGGGTGCTCCTCACACCCACACTGGGCCAGTTCCCGGTTCAAAGTCCAGTGCTGGGTGTGAGCAGGGCTGGGATGCAGAGTTTTCCAGCCACTGCTGCTCCAGCACACTTGCCCTCCCTGCCCTGGCCCAGCTCCCGGCACTCCAGCTTGCCTGCCTTCCTTCCCTCCTCCCTCCCTCCCTGCTGCTGGGTGCAGAGCTGTGCTGGGGGGTCCCTGACCGCCCCTCTCCCTGCAGCCACTGGCAGCAGCATGGAGAGAGGACCCTGGTGTCCCGCCCGCTCACCTGTACCCTCACGGCGGTCCCAGGACGCAGCCGGAGCAGCCGGGGCCCCCCGCGCTGCCCGTGACTGCCGTGCCCCGCGTGCCGATGGAGAGGATGAGCTGGCTGAGCAAGCTGACCCCGCGGGCGGGTGGGCAGCGAGCCCCCCGCAGCGCCAGCCTGCAGGCCCCCGTCACCGCCGACCCTGAAACCTGCCTCATGGTCTTCAAGAACCACTGGGCGCAGGTGAGCGGGGCGCAGGGGTGGGGGGGACCCGCCACCCCCAGCCCCTGGCACCCGCCGCTGAGTGCCCCCTCACGCAGGTGCTGCGGATCCTGGAGCGGCACGGGAGCAAACCGGCCCCCGACGACCTCAGCGCTGTCCGCAACAACACCTACCAGATGCTGAACCTGCTGGCCGAGGACCGGCCCCGGGGGGATGGCGACAGGTCCCAGGGGGACGGGGACATGGCCTGCGGGCCCATCCTGGACTTTGTGGCTGCTGAGAACCTTCTGGAGCGGCTCCTGTGCTGGCACCTGCAGGGAGACTTCACCGAGGAGAGGAAGGTCTGTGATGGGGGCTGGAGGGCACAGGGGGGGGGTCTGTGGGAGTGGGGGGCTTGCAGGGGGCCAGGACAGGCTGGATTCAAGGGGTGAGGGTGGTGTGGTGAGGGTCAGCCAGGCCAAGGGCTGGATGCTGCACCTGAGGAAGTTCAGGTTGGATTTAGGTTGGAACTAGATGGGCTTTAAGGTCACGTCCTATCATTCTGTGATATTGGCGAAAATTCTTTTTGGAAAGGGCTGTTCAGCCCTGTCACAGGTGGCCCAGGGCAGGGCTGGAGTCCCCACCCCGGGGGGAATTTCACAGCTGTCTGGCTGTGGCACTTGGGTACAGGGCTCAGTGGTGGGCTGGGCAGCCCCGAGGGAGCAGCTGGACCCAGGAGTCTCAGTGCCTTTCTCACCCTGATTGTGCCTCTGTTCCCAGGTGGAGCAGCTGAAGCTGTACGAGATGTTGATCAGCCAGGCCCGGCAGCCGCTGCTGCGGCACAAGGCGGTGCTGACGCCGCTGCTGCGCCTGCTCAGCGTGTGCGCCGAGCCCGCCTCGGCCCCGCTCGAGAACAGCCTGGTGCTGCTGCTCAACCAGCTCTGCGTCTCCGTGGCCCGCGAGCCGGCCATCCTGGAGCTCTTCTTCCACAGCCACACAGACCAGGGCCCCGCCAACCTCATCATCTTCTCACTCCTCATCCCCTTTATCCACCACGAGGGCGCACGGGGCCAGCAGGCGCGCGACGCGCTGCTGCTCATCATGGCCATGTCGGCCAGCAACCGCGCCGTGGCACAGTCCATCACCGACAACTCCTACTTCTGCCCGGTACGGACCTGCCCGCGGGGCCTCCCCTCCCTGGGGCAGGGCTGGGACACGGCTGGGTTGGGCCATTGGGGCAGGAGCCATGGACAGGCCTGCAGGGAGGAGTCCTGCCCAGGATGGGGGGCTTGGCTATGGGAGGGGTCCACAGATGGTGGGGGGTCTGGAAATAATGC